TATTAAAAAACGAAACAAAAAAGAATAAAAAACAATCAACGACAGCGTCACAGACTTGATATGACGTTACAATCCTTCTTGCTTCTCTCTACATTTTTACCTCCCTACTCGACAATCTTAGATCGGGCGCGCTGTGGTTTGGGAGTTACTTTTTTTGACGATCTTTTTAGCGTGCTTGAAAATGGCGGCTGGGCATTTCTTGATCTTCCCGCCTTTAGATGCATCTTCTTGTGTGATATCACTTCCATTCTTTTTTCATCTTGTCTCTATACATACCTCATTCATTACCATGTTTACCATCTATCATTTATATTACCGCTTGCAATTGATGAGCATTTCTTCCATATCCAGTTTCTTAATCTTGTTCATAGTCTTATAATTGGCAAAATGTATATATTGCAACTAAATAATCTCATGGTGGGATATATATCTATCCTCTTGGAAAACGGTCCTTGGGACAGTCCGGGGTTGAGATCGAGTATTCCCTTCTTCATATAAGTATTTGAACACAATCTCTTATACTTTTGAATGCGATATAACTTGTATTCTTAAGATTTTCCGGTTAAGACAGGTATGACAAGATAGAAACGTTGATTTGCATGGTGAAAGCGAGATGGATGGATACATAGATAGGGCAATCCGCTTTGCGGAGAGTCAACAGTCTGAACAAGCTTGTGAGCAAACACTCCTTGGTAATTCAATCCTTACATAGCATAGCATGTTGGAAGTTGGGTGCTTACATTATAAGGCCTAGTAAATCTTCAGAGATATATGTGAACTGGACAATCGCCAAGTCACGTGGATTGCGTGGCCCTATCTAGGAGACGGCCCAGGCCTGTTGCGCTTGTTCCCACTCATAGTTAGTTACCATGGCTGGGGAGCCTTGTAGGCCCCTGCCGCTTGTATTTAGAATTTCTAAGTATCCAACACCGAAAACCCTACGCCCTACGCCCTATGACCTAAGTCCTACGCCCTGCCGCCTACGGGACCACCTACAAATAACTCCTTGAGCACTTTCGACTTTTGATTGTGAGGCTAACATCACAACAAAAAAGTAGTGTATCACCGAGCTCGAACGAAGGCTGAAGACTCGCTGTCACTGATCACCGAACGATTTCCCCTCCTGCTTAGCACGGATAACATCAACCCAAGCTTTCCAAGGCTGACTCTCGAACCTCGCCACTCGCGAACAAAAGCACGAAAGCACCGTACCAGATAACCTTGAATCGAATCGAAGGATAGGGGCACCGCCAATACAACCAGCTCAGGGGTTTCCACTTCGCCTTGGCTGGCGGCCACGCAATTATCAATTCCTGAGGCCCAAAATCGCTGGCCTCGGGTAAAAAAAAAAGACTTAAAAAACACATGAAAGAAACGAAGTCGTATCTGAAACGAGAAGAGACTAGATGCTAGACGGGTCACTCGAAGGAACCACAACGGGCAGATTAGCGTTGGTAAGGGTGGTAATTGCGGTGTCCACCTCGGCCGCCACCACGGTAGTTCGCACCAGGCTTGCCGGCGTTACGGGGTCCAGTTGGAGCATTAGCAGGAGCAGTACTCTGGGGCTGAGGAGTAGTTCCTGTTTGAGAGAAGGGTTAGTTAATACGAGCCAATAAAAGATAAGAATGGAATTGGGATGAAAGAGGCACAATATGCAAAGACTCGTAAGAATCACATACCACTACCCGAACTTCCATTGCGTCTCATACCTGCTGGTCCAGTCGGGACGTGAGGCTGAGGAACTTCATCGTACATGCCCTCCCACGAAGTTGGGCCACCCTGCTGCTGGTAAGGAGAGAAACCGCGAGGATCCATGGAGCGGTTCATCTGCTGCTGTTCGTACTTCTGCTGCTCGAAGGCAATCTGTTCGGTCGCGTTGTATCCAGGTCCGGTCTGTCCTCTGGCTGCGTTTGGAGTTCCGTTGTTGTAGTTGGCGGCCATACCGGCGGCGTGGGGCACAGGGCTGGCGGCATCGCTGCCTGGACCAACGGGGGCATTGGCTTGGTTAGGCTGCATCATGGAGGGGTTCATCATGTTGGGCATGGCCTGCTGAGAGCCAGGGCTCTGAGGGCCGGGGCTCATAGCACCTTGCTGTTGGCCACCCATTTGCTGTTGCTGCTGACGCATCTGCATCTGCTGCATCTGCTGCATCTGTGCGATCATAGCGGGGTTCATGTTCATAGCGCCGCCCATGTTCATACCGGGCATTCCTCCCTGACCGGCGGCCATCTGATGCTGAAGCATAGTGAAATATTGTTGCATGCGTTGCCAGTATTGAGCCATCATTTGAGGAGTCATCGAACTACTACCTTGTCCTTGCTGAGGGGCTTGCTGCTGCTGACCTCCATCGTTCTGGTTCTGGTCGCGGTATCCTCCGTTGCGGTGGCCGCCTCCGCGTTGATCGTTGTTCTCACGCAAGTTTCCGCGGGGCTGTGCCTTCTTGACCTCAATTGGCTTTCCCAGAATCTCAAGAGGACGGGAAAGAGCCTTCTCAACAGCAGCATCACCGTCGAAAGTGACAAAACCGAATCCGCGGGGACGTCCGGTGTCCTTGTCCATCATAAGAGTGGCATCCACAACACGGCCAAACTGCATAAAGAATTGCTTAAAGTCCTGCTCAGTAGCCTCCTGGCTAACACCGCCAACGAAAATCTTCGAAGTCTTCTCCTGTTCGTCGCGGGGAATAGCACGCTTGGGATCAATCTTCGACATTGGTCAGCAACTTTTCACGTTGTCTAATTGTCCCAATTGCGAGGTAGCTCTTACAATCTTTCCATCCAGATAATGCTCCTTCACCATCACAGTGTTGACAGTCTTGGCGTCACGGAAAGTCAAAAACCCGAAGCCACGAGAGCGTCCAGTGGCACTATCCCGCATGACAGTGCACTCCTGAACCTCACCGAATTGAGAGAAATAGTCACGGAGGGACTCTAAATGAGGATCAAGATATGTCAGCCATATGACGCGTCTTCTGTGTAGAAAAGATATATTTACCGTCTGTAGTTTCCCAGTTCAGACCACCGATGAACATCTTTCTAGTAGACGAATTGTCATTGGTTAGCGGATAGTCATGGATCAGCGCATCTTCAGCGAGAGTGGCTTCAGCGAAAACATAATGAATTGAATATCAAGGGATATCACATTCAATGAACGGCATGATGAAAATAATGAATGTGGGAAAAAATGATAGTGGGGGAGGGTAGAGGAAGTAAATCAAGGTGCAAAGGTGGGTGGGGAGGTATTGCTATTCATGGGCTATTCGACTGTGAGAAAAGCCTCGCTATTCTGGTCACAACTGCCCTCGAACAAGCAGGGAACGTGCTAGGTCGGTACATAATCTTTGACCCTTGTAGCCACGTCAATGTATACTTGGATGGTCTTGAGCAATTTTGATGTTCATGACCGGGATTTAACGTCAAGCCCACTGGTTTACATGGGCCTGGATGCAGAATTCACGTCCTCCTCTTTCTGGATTGCTCAAGCCGGAGACAAGCGAGATGAGAAGCGTGGAGGTGCAAGTATTTCAGTCGTAAAAAGTGAATTGTCACTGTCTGTCTGTCTGACTCGTGAAAACCTTTGCCTTGTCTAACACAGAGTCTCAAGCTAGATAGCTACTTCTTGCTCTGCCCTATCAAGGTATATCGACAGGAAACTATATAGTATCGGCTGTACTATATATGAATCGTTTGTGACAAAGGTCCGTGGGTGGCGTGTGGCTGATTTGCGCAAGCAATTATCTTGACCAAGGGCTCCAGGGGATGTATGTGCCTTTTGAGCCTTTGCTTCTTTCCGTGGGTCGAATGTCGGAGCATCCCAACATATGATCTGTAGATCACCTTTGGTAGACGTTGATGGTTGTGCGATAGGGTTCTTCGATCAGACAGGTTGATTGGTCGCCGGCCCGCATTTTTTTTGTTTTCCCTCCTTTCCAAGGTTGAAACGCGCGCGTCGCCCACCAACCGGCTAATTTTTCCTCAAAACAGCCCACTGTCCACAGCCCAAAGAAATCTTAACCCGTAGCTAGGAGACTCCTTCCTGCACCCAGAATTGTAGTCGAACCCATGAATAGCAATTGACGCCACCTAGGCTTGTATCGGCGAGGTAAAGCCCGAAACCAAACAGATACATGCGATTGGGGTAGAGTTTGAACATAAGAGGCAAAAGAAACACAGTTAGTGGACTTACCCGTCTTCTTTGATTCCTGTTCCGTGAGACTCGGGCTCGACAGGAGGGGGTGCCTGGGTAGTGGCAGGGGCGCCATAAGCGTTTCCAGAGCCATTGTGATAACCTGGGTCAAACTCCGACGGCTGAGCAGGGTGCGATTCATATGTGGCAACAGGAGCAGGTGTGAAATCCTGCCCAGCGGATTCTCCAGCAGGTGCAGGGTTGGTCGCGCCTAGATCAGTAGGCTTCGGCGCCTCAACTGCTGCAGTGGTACGATTGGTGGAATCGTCAGCATCATAGCTAAAATGAGAAAGTCCAATTAGAATTTCATGATTCAATTTCAGGGCGAAGTAGAAAACATACAGATCAGCAAAGAGATCATCTCCGTCCTCTGGATCAGCCATGATGAGATAGTGAGCGGTGGATAAAGGGATAACAGAGGTAGTCACGGGAACACGTGTAACCCTAGGAAATCAGAGTAGAGTAAAAACAAAAGTAACGAGAAGAGTAGAAAATGTGAGAACAAGCGAAGAAGAAGTTCAGAAGTCCAGGACCGCGGGAATCCCCAAGCGGAGCGCTTACATAATACGTTGTTCTTCATGCCGGACTCGGGATGAAAGCTAGACATTTTGTATCTATACAACGTTAGAACCTACGAATTTGCTTTGATTTGCCTTTCATTTCGAGTCTGTTTGTCTCAAATATGCTCTATTGATCTTCTATTCAGTCCCTACATGGCCTGGCTGCAGGATATTCGGCATTCATTCTATTACAGTGCCACCCCGCACGTGTATTAGACTCCCGCATGAGCACACCACTCTCGGAATCCCCACACGATGGCGAACAAAAAAGGCCAGCAGGTATGTTGATCTTCCTAGCTCTAAGGCTATCTTGAATCCTTCTGAGACATTGAGCTGACTGTATCGCCAGGAAATGGTCCAGGTTGGTTCGTATCTTGTCCCTCCCCTTGCATTTTAATCGCAGCTATAGCTTACATGGTCTTTCTCACCATTTCACAGACAAGTCGGAGTAAGTGAAAGCTTTATATGCGCTCTTCTACAGCTATAAAAACAGCTGCCAGGTCTGTTTAATGCTAATGTCCTTTGAAGACGTGCTGAATCGCCCTTCTGGGCTGGCCGAAATACGTCTTTAAACCAGGGATCATCGAAGTTCTATGGCTCGAATACTGTTGTTGGCGCATCATACTCACATGCCAATATTGTACAGTATGTTAGCAATGCATCCTACAGATCTAGCAATTGATTGGGAACAATGGCTGACAAGTGTCTTCTTTCGCAGACCTACCTCCTCCCACTCAGCCCCGAGAACACCACCGAAGCCATCGACTACAAATTCTGCATCAAACTTGTCTCGCAGGCCAGGAAACCTAGTCGCCTCACCTCCCCGGCAACCCTACCCCGGAATTATGACTGAAGGGGTCGATGAGTGGAGCCGTGACCCCACGGAAGATGACGAAGATGATGATGATGACGACGAGATTGTGTACGATGACGATGAAGATGAATTCGGACTTCCTAGTCTTGCTAGTATGAGGAGGAAAAAATCTGCACCTTTGAAAGCTCAGAATATTGATTTCAGTGGTGGGGCAGCAGGAAGCTCCTCAACACTTGGGTATGGATTAGCAGCCGCAAACAGGCTGCGCGCGAACAGCGCAGATATTGCGGAAGAGCGTGGTGCTCCACTGTATCCAACTGCTCGCAAGGGGGATGGGAAGATCCTTCGACCTCAGTACAAGGACATCTTACAAGGTATGTATGAGTAGATGGCCGAAAAAAGGTAGGATCATGCTGACATTTATAGACCCTGCCAATGCTTTGAATCTCATCAACCACTCCGCACCTCCTATAGATGCTTCACCCAAAGAGAGGGACATCCATTCGAGTCGCATTACGCGAATTAACAAGTTCAAGCGCATCTTGCAAGCAAGTACAGTATCTCCCACCGAGCTGCGGGATCTCGCGTGGTCAGGTGTCCCCGAGGAGGTGCGGCCAATGACTTGGCAACTTCTCCTTGGCTACCTTCCTACAAACAGTGAGCGCCGCATCTCCACCCTGGAACGGAAGCGCAAGGAGTACCTTGACGGAGTCCGGCAGGCCTTTGACCGTGGTAGTGGGGCAAGCTCTGCAAACCCCCCTTCAACCAAGGGCCGGGGCAGAGGACTTGATGAGGCGGTTTGGCACCAGATTAGCATTGATGTTCCACGCACCAGCCCCCCACATTCCGCTTTACGGCTATGAAGCCACCCAGCGGTCTTTGGAACGCATCCTTTATCTTTGGGCTATCCGACACCCAGCAAGTGGTTATGTTCAAGGTATTAATGATCTGGTAACACCATTCTGGCAGGTCTTCCTGGGCGTTTACATAACCGATCTGAACGTCGAAGAAGGCATGGACCCAGGTCAATTGCCTCGGAGTGTGTTGGACGCGGTGGAAGCGGACACTTTTTGGTGTCTGACAAAGCTACTGGACGGTATCCAGGACAACTACATTTATGCTCAGCCTGGAATTCATCGACAGGTCAGGGCACTACGAGACTTGACAGTGCGCATAGATGCAGCACTTGCAAAGCACCTGGAACAAGAAGGTGTAGAATTTATGCAATTTAGTTTCCGGTGGATGAACTGCTTGCTCATGCGGGAAATGAGCATCAAAAACACCATACGCATGTGGGACACGTACATGGTACGTTTCCCCCAGGAGACTGTTTTGGATGATACTGATCGTCATTCTAGGCCGAGGAGCAGGGCTTCTCTCGATTCCACCTTTATGTTTGCGCCGCATTCTTGGTCAAATGGACAGATCAACTGGTCAAGATGGATTTCCAGGTACGATTTTGTAATCGAATATCACCACTATTAAACATGAACTAACATTCTTTCAGGAGGTTATGATGTTCCTCCAGGCATTGCCAACGAAGGGTTGGACCGAGAAAGACATTGAACTCTTACTCAGCGAAGCATTTATCTGGCAGAGTCTGTTTCAAGACTCACGTGCTCACCTCCGGCCTGCTGGTGATGAACCTCCTGAAAATGGTATCTTTTATTGATAGTAATCATAATTCATGATCCGAATTCCCAACTCCTATTTTCGGATGCTTTTCCCCCAGGGCAGATATGGCCTTTCCCGCTCAGTTGAAATGGATGCCCTTTTGGTTGAATGCCCACAGCAGCTTCAAGAAATCGTTCTCATCACACATTCTCGCGCGCCTATCCCCGAGCCCAGTGTCATCCTCCAGGACCTGGCGCACCTTCTCACGAACTAGCTCTGCAACCTTGCCACGCTTCTTGCGCGAAGCTCCATTCTTGAGTGCTGCTTCGAGGCGGGCATTTGTGCTCTCTTTGAAGAAATCAGGAACATCGTCATCGTCCATCTCCATGACCTCGTCGGCTGGTTCCTCGACAGCCTCTTCTTCTTCCTGCTCCTCGCCCATGTCAAGTGCCATGGCATCGTCATTGGCGACTTCGACCGGGCCATCCTCCACAGGAATGTCATGTTGCGCACACCATGTCCGATAGTTTGCCTCTAGCAATTCCATGATGCTTGACGTACCAATGAAACTGGACCGGAGAGTCTTGTTCTTCCGTACGAAAACAATTCGCAAAAGACCATCCCACTCCTCGTAGTTGATCTGTGGCCGTGGGTTCTTGGGGACCATCCGAATAACGCTTGACTCAACCTGAGGCGGTGGCTTGAAGTTGTTCTTGCCAACCTTCATGATATGATCAATCTTGGCCCACATTTGAGCATTGACTGAAAGTCGACTGTAAAGTTTGTCGCCGGGCTTGGCGAATAAACGCAGAGCGAATTCACGTTGGAACCTGTGTGGTAGGTTAATATGTAAGCTTTCAATTACACAGAACGGTTCTGAAAACTTCTAGCCTTGGTAACGGGGACTTACATGAGTACGCAGGAGCGAGGCGCCGGAGATGTAGCGAGGAGCTTGAATGTGAGAGGAGAAGAGATCTTGACCCTGTTAGACTCAGGAAGAACCTTTGGGAAATATATGGAGTTGTATGTACCTGGTAGGGAGTATTACTGATGCAGACATCAAAGTATGGGAGCTCCGTCTTCATGACATCTCCAAGAATGACCTCCAGGCGTTTTTGGTATGGGGTAGACTGGAAGCGCTTGGTGACTTCTGCAGCCATACGGGGATCCAATTCCACGGCAATGCATTTCTTTGCTTTTTCTAGAATCTTGGCTGTCAAGTTACCAGTACCGGGTCCAATTTCGAGGACGATCTGTTGATTCACACTATTAGTGTTTGTTAAACCAATCCATGTCTTTTGTAACTCACATCGCTTTGCTTGAGCTCGGCCTTCTCCACAATTGCAGCTAGATTCCCAATCTATTAGCTAGAGTAGATATAATGCAGTGAAGGTTAGTCCCTACCAGCAATACCAGGGTTCTTCAGAACGTGCTGGCCAATATCAGTGTTCATCTTGAAGATGCTGTGAGCAGCTTTTGTCTTGGCAGCAGCATCTGATAGACCCTGCGAAGCGGCGCTATTGCGCTTTGGCTTGTTAACTTTGGGCATCTTGGAGTAATGAGCCTCTGGAATTTGACAATTATCCAAAGAAACTAGAGAGAAAACGTGCAGCAACGAAGCACATGGACTTCAATGTGGGCGGGAACTTTTTTTACGATAAGATTGCCGGCGCCGGAATTACATTCCTCCGAGCCCGCCATTGCCTTCTGCGCCGTCGATGTCGAGCCAGCCCTTTGACTTGTGTTGTGCCCAACATGGCGTCCGGACGACAGGATTTCCTAAAGCAGGCCGCGCCCGAGAACTACGTCGCTGGTCTAGGTCGTGGTGCTACTGGTTTCACCACTCGCTCCGATCTTGGCCCGGCGCGTGAAGGACCCACGCCCGAACAGATCCAGGCTGCTCTAACCAAGAGAGCTCAGCTTCTAGGAGCTGCTGCACCCACTGCCTACGGCGCCACTACCCGCGAGAAAGGTGGGAAGGAGGAAGATAAGGAGGAGGAAGATGAGCGATTCCAGGATCCCGACAATGAGGTCGGACTGTTCGCATATGGACAGTTCGACCAAGAAGACGACGAGGCAGACCGCATCTACCAAGAGGTAGATGAGAAGATGGACAAGCGCCGGAGAGCTCGCAGGTTAGTTATATCCCTCCCGTTCCCCCTCCGAAACCATTTGTTTATCGGGTTAGCCCCGGTTGTTTGGACAGAGTACCGACTTGAATCGCTCGCCACCTACAGGGAAGCTCGAGAGAAAGCCGAACAAGAAGAATACGAACGCAATAACCCGAAGATCCAACACCAATTTGCCGATCTGAAACGCACACTCGCCACGGTATCCGAAGAAGACTGGGCCAACCTCCCGGAAGTTGGAGATTTGACCGGCAAGAATCGACGAGACAAACAGAATGCCCGACAGCGCCACTACGCCGTCCCAGATAGTGTGCTTGCTGGCGCGAGAGACTCAGCTCAATATGGCACGACAATCGCCGAAGATGGAACGGAAACGGCTATCGACCAAGGAGAAAGCGCCGACAGCACCATGACGAACTTCGCAGATATCGGTGCGGCGCGTGATAAAGTTCTGAAGGTCCGACTTGACCAGGCTGCGCTAGGATCTGGCGATAAATCCGGAACCTCTACGAACATCGACCCCAAGGGTTACCTCACCAGCTTGACACAATCAGAAGCTAAGGCCGGTGAAGTTGAGGTGGGCGATATCAAGCGAGTCCGTACCCTATTAGAATCCGTCACCAAGACCAATCCTAAGCATGCTCCTGGTTGGATTGCCCTAGCTCGTCTGGAGGAGCTTGCTGGCCGGATTGTTGCTGCTAGGACTCTTATCGCTAAGGGATGTGAGCTCTGCCCCAAAAGCGAAGATGCATGGCTGGAAAACATTCGACTCAATGAAGGCCACAATGCAAAGGTTATTGCAGCGAATGCTATCAAGAACAATGACCGTTCCACAAGATTGTGGACCGAGGCCATGAGATTAGAAACGGACACCCGTGCCAAGAAGAATGTTCTTCGACAAGCTATTTTGCACATTCCCCAATCGGTGCAAATTTGGAAAGAAGCTGTTAATCTAGAAGACGATCCGGCCGATGCGCGCTTGCTGTTGGCTAAGGCCGTTGAAATCATTCCTCTGTCAATCGAGCTGTGGCTTGCCCTTGCTCGCCTCGAAACCCCCGAAAATGCACAAAAAGTCTTGAACGCTGCTCGCAAAGCCGTTCCTACTAGCTATGAAATCTGGATTGCTGCAGCTCGACTCCAGGAGCAGATGGGTACATTCGCCAAGGTCAATGTCATGAAGCGTGCTATTCAGTCTCTAGCCCGAGAGAATGCCATGCTGAAGAGAGAGGAATGGATCACAGAAGCCGAGAAATGCGAAGCCGAAGGCGCTGTACTTACATGTGGTAGTATCATCCAAGAGACTCTCGGATGGGGCTTGGATGAGGATGATGACCGAAAGGATCTCTGGATGGACGACGCAAAGGCCAGTATTGCTCGTGGTAACTACGAAACTGCCCGGGCAATCTATGCGTACGCCCTGCGAGTCTTTGTGAACCGCCGATCAATCTGGCTTGCGGCAGCGGATCTGGAGCGCAATCACGGCACCAAGGAAGCTCTCTGGCAGGTCCTGGAGAAGGCAGTCGAAGCGTGCCCCCAGAGCGAGGAGCTATGGCTTCTCCTGGCCAAAGAGAAATGGCAGTCTGGAGATATTGATGATGCTCGACGAGTCCTCGGCCGTGCCTTCAACCAAAACCCCAACAACGAAGATATCTGGCTGGCTGCTGTCAAGCTAGAGGCCGACGCCAAAAAGACCGACCAAGCCCGAGAGCTTCTGGCCACTGCCCGCCGTGAGGCCGGCACAGATCGCGTGTGGACCAAGAGCGTTACTTTCGAGCGGCAGCTCGGCAACATCGACGACGCTTTGGATCTAGTCAACCAAGGCCTGCAACTCTTCCCGAAGGCCGACAAGCTCTGGATGATCAAGGGCCAAATTTACGAAGCGCAGAACAAGTTCCCACAGGCGCGCGAAGCATACGGAACTGGCACCCGAGCCTGCCCCAAGTCCGTTGCGCTGTGGCTGCTTGCTTCGCGACTGGAGGAAAAAGCGGGCGCCGTCGTCCGGGCTCGATCCGTCCTCGACCGAGCCCGTTTGGCTGTTCCCAAGAGCGCAGAGCTCTGGACTGAAAGTGTGCGCGTCGAACGCCGCGCCAACAATATCGCACAGGCCAAGGTCCTCATGGCGCGCGCGATCCAGGAAGTCCCAACATCAGGACTTCTGTGGAGCGAAAGTATCTGGTATCTCGAGCCCCGCGCTCAGCGCAAGGCACGCAGTCTGGAGGCTATCAAGAAGGTCGAGAACGATCCGATTCTGTTCATCACTGTCGCGCGCATCTTCTGGGGCGAGCGTCGGTTGGAGAAGGCGATGACCTGGTTTGAGAAGGCGATCGTCTTGGATAGTGATTACGGTGATGGCTGGGCTTGGTATTACAAGTTCCTTATGCAGCATGGCACTGAGGTTAGTTATCCCCATCTCCCCCCTTTTGTACTTCATTCCTTGGACTCTGTGTTATCATTGGAATATCCCGCTAATATCTATATGTTACAGGAAAAACGAGCAGATGTCATATCGAAGTGCATCTCGATGGAACCCAAGCACGGTGAGATCTGGCAGTCCATCGCGAAGGACCCGGCCAATGCCTACAAGACTACCGAGGAGATTTTGAAGCTTGTCGCAAATGCAATCAACTAGCTGGGATGTTCTTTGTGGGTGTGATATCTACAGGCGTTCGGGGGCAAACCGCCCATGGAATTCAATATTTGACGGGGATGTGTCTCTGTTAGACTTACGTCTAAAAAACCCAGTGTTCTAATATGTAACTACATATGCATGTACGGAGTAATGACTTCTCAATTAACTTAAGATAACCAAGTTGTAAAGTAGAATTCATGGGTATAGAACAAGCTTGACCTCATCTTCCAAATAGGGGTCATGGCTATTCAGCTTTTTAGTTTCTTTGTTTTCTCTGAGCTTTCCCTTTATCCTCCAGATGTCGACCGTTTCGCCCTGTCCCTTAAGAAGTGATACTGTACATGACCATAATAGGGAGAAGATGAAACAGGGGACAAGGTAGAGGCGATCGAGAACGGATAAGACAATATCTTCAAACTCCAAATCCGTATGCAAATCATGTGGCGTCACAAAATAGTGACAGCCTCCCTTGGTAGTACCCAGACGCCGTGAGCCACCATCCAAAACCGCGAGTATAGCAAAAAAAAAAAAAAAAAAAAAAAAGAGCAAAAAAGCATATAATGTGGCATGTATGAAACGTGGAAAAAAAAGACAACGGGGGTATAAAATTCTCATGCGGCCATGGACAGACACTCGTCGAGTAAAGAGCTCAACTGATCTCGATCACCAAGCGTGCCGCCTTCCCAGTCTAGCAGAGAACCGTCTTCGTCTTCATCTTCGTCCAAGTCCATCTCGTCTTCGGGTTTGATTTCCTGATGTGGCTCACCAACGCCATTCTCTAACCGCTCGTGTCTTTCAGTCTCGAGTTCGTCTTCGAAGTACCCGTTCATGATCTGGTCTACAATGAGTGGCATGTGGCCGAGGACACCACCGCCCAGCTCTAAAGTTAACCGCAGGTCTCTGACGCCCAATGGTTTTCGAATGTTGGCCTCTCTCGCTTCAACGGGGAGTAGACCGGTGGCAGCATCTTTCGCAATTTCTCCACGCGTGTATGCAAGCTCTTCGACTTCCAGTTGGTGTCGGTATTGACGCATCATCATGTTGTTGATTGTACCGGACGGGCCATTCGAACGGGTGCGCGAGAATACCGCGGACAAAACTTCCTTCACGAACGTTTCCGTCGCGATGGCCATGAACTCAGCGCATGGGAGCCCGGCACCGCTGGGTAGAGATTCCTCGTAACATATGGGGACCATGCGGGCATGGATGGATTCGGCATCGGGGAATTCGCCTGTTTCTGCGGCGAGGGGCTGGGCATAACGTTTTCGGATTTCCAGTTCCCAGTCTGTAATGGAGGAGAATGGTTAGGGATTATTTCCTGATAGGGAACCACGGGAACGGAGAGGATATCTCGAGTTCGACGCGAAGGGTTTCGCCTTACTAGTTTTGTTCAACCCGCCTGCACTTGCGGGAACCTGGCTGGGCAATTTGAATTGCTTAGCTAGATGGCTTTCTTCTAGCTCGGTGGGTACCTTCTCATTGGGATCTCGCTGGTGACCATTAGTTGTCAGTTCTGGGGTGAAGGTATTCGTCATCCTTTGCGACTACATACCTCTGGGATTCCCTTTATGCGCCGACGGTCCCTCGGAGGTAATTTCATAACCTCCGTCTTCAATCTTTGTTCCGCAGCATCTCCGGAGACGGGCTTCGACACCGTTGATGGTTTATCATTGGCCGATACCCAGTTTGCGACGCCATGATCGGGGAGGTCTCGCGTGAGGTTTCCGATGAGCGCGCATACGAAGTTGTTATGTAGATGTTCGTTTTTAGGGTCGGCGCACAGGAAGTAGTCGACTCGTGATGAGTATTCGCTCTGGTTGTAATGTCCTATCGGAAAACAAGAGGTCAGGAGGTGATCGAACCGAGGTCAACGCGTAGGATGGAAGGGGGAGCAGTCTGCGCGGAGCTCAAGTAATCGCTCTCCGAAGAAATTATTGCGCATCATGACACACCTAGTAAGAACAGAGCCGTGGCCTCTTTATACTCGGCCCACTTGTCTCCGATGGCGGCCTTCAGGTCCGTGTAGGCATGCTCGAGCTCTAGCCGCGGCACCGATATCAGAGCTCTGGAGGTCTTTGCGGATACTGAGCCGTTGGGTACGGCGCCTTTTGGATTTGAGATAGAGTCACTGCGACTCAAAGCCGCCGGATCAATCTGCATGGTTGCTGAACTCGCGAGAGCGCGACGGGCGACGCCGAAGGGCAGGGAATATTGGCACCTACGCCTTCATCAAGGAGGATTCTAGGGGTTCAAACTAGAAATAGAGGAAGAGAGGATGTTGTCATAAGAGAACCTGATGAATTGAAGATGAAAATTGATGGAGTGAAAGAGATGGCGATGGGTTTGGGTGGAAGGGGAGGTTCCGACGACGGTTCCCCGCCAGACGCCAGAAACGGATACATCGATGTGCGCCAAACTTAGCAGCGTTGTCTTGAATGTTTACATATATTTCTTTACATTGGAATTTTAGATGCTTTTCAAATTGATTAGCTAGATTTTCAAGCTAGCTGCACTACGTCTTCACTTAATACTCCAAATAGTTGTCCGATCTCCGCAATGATCTCGGTGATCTCGTTCGATAATTGGCCTGTCACCAAAACTAGAAGTACAAGGGTTAGTATATTGTACTGCATGTAACCCAGAAACCAAAGAAATACTCACTATAGGCATAAAGCAAAGCACAGTCCTCATCTGTGGTTTGTTGAGATGCTTCACGATCCAAGCGATAGCGATAGATGCGAGCAAGCAAGCGGTCTCTGGCATGCTCAATGCTAGGAAGCACATCACTCAAAGGGTACTCGAGTTTCATTGATGAAGCAATCACTGGAAGATAGTCAGCACTGTATCAAGTGAACGATAATTACAAGAGGACTGACCTGATAATAGATGGCTCACGCGGGCAGATAGCTGTTGGCGTTCTAATTTTGTGTATTGAAGAAGGCTGATTTCACCTTCAGTGGCCACATCATTCTTCATCAGCTCGATGTTCATAGTATGGAAAGAATTCACCATGCTGCGTGTACGGCGAACAATGTTGGCATAAGAGGCCTCAGGGAATGCACTCTTCAATTCAAATTCAGAGCCCGCCGCAGCTTGAAGAGTCTCCAACCGAGACAAAAATCTTTCAATCTCAAGCTTCTCTCGGGGCGTCATATATAAAACAGACCTTTCACCTTTAGCCATAATGGATAGGGGATCGCGTTTCCAAACAAGACTAAGGTGCAGCCAGATAAGACTTAGGCTCTCCTTGAGCCTACTTCTTGCGCTGATGGGCCAGATCAGTCGAGTGATGATGATTCCCCAAATGCATCCAGAAAATACAGCAACAACTCGATGAAGTGCAATTTCGGTCATGATTGGATGAGAACCACCTTCGTCTTCGTCCAGATTTGCTGCCTTCTGGGTGAGGGAATAGCCGTATAGCACGGAGAGGTTGTACGTGAGCATGATAAACCGGCCCATGGGCCCATTCCCACGAACAATGGTGATGTATCCAGTCCAGACCGCCATTATCCATCCCAAGAACGCAAGAGCAAATACATTTCCAGCGGTGATGTTCCATGCTAGGATAGCAGCTGCTGCTCCCAAACAAGTACCAAGGAACCGGGCATACCCTGTCGTGTTCGAGGCCCCGATTGTCATTGAGCAAACCAGCATGTAAGACAAGAGACCCCATTCTCCCCGCCAACGTCCATAGAACGGACGAGTTGAAGGAAGGAAAGCAGGCAGGGCGTAGATTGCAGCTCCTGCCCCAACCTTGATCGCGTATTTTGTATCATCTCGTCGGAAGAACCCAAGACATTTCCATAAACGGTAACCGAGTCTTTGTTTTGTTGTATCATGTACTGAAGGGCCTTTTTGTGTTTGAATATTGACAGGGAGTCTATCATGTGCAATCAAGCCGTCTGATGCATGTCTAGCATGTCCATGGAGGTGCTGCTCAGTAGCGGGTGAATTGGAGGGTCTGAAAACTGCTTCTGTAGGTAGTTAGCATCATATCCAAGTCTCAACGATTGGTATATGGAGATATACGTACCAGCATCAGAAGAGGTTATTTTAGTGGTTTCCGTATTTTTCGACCACTTCCAGACTTTGAGCCATGACCAGGTTCGCCCACTAGGCCGCTCTTCGACTTCCAACTGCAGCTCATCTAAAATGGAAAGCATCTCTCGGAGCTGCTCGCCAAATTCGAGGAGGGAAAAGCTGAAATGGCCGCAGCTGGCTGAGACTTCCTCAAGATCAGCTTCAGCTTCGCGTGTCTTCAGTTTCATGGTTTCCTTTTGTTGGTACAGTGCTGCGAGTGTGTTCTCGCGCGATTCTTTGTAAAGATCAAGCGCCCGGTCAAGACTGATTCGCAATCGACCATTCACTGAGACTTTGTAGTCCGGTGCAGGCCCAAATGGAATCTCCTTGAAGATTTCTTTCAACGTAAAGGCCAACGATCGCTGCTTTGAGTCAGCCTTGAATGTACAGTACCAAATACTTATCGAGTTCCAACTTACCATTGCAGGACCCAGGTGAGAGATGAATATAGTGAAGACATCTGCGGGAAGAAGTGCGGGTCTGGGTGTTGATTCAGCACTTCCAAGATGGTGGGAACCGCCGGGAGATAATTCCTCCTCTGGTCGCTCAACAATAGGCTCTAGAAACGACCCATCGGGGAATGACCAGGATCGCTCGAGGGGCGTGAAATAGTCCACATGAGTCGAGCTAGACTGCTGATCTTCCGGAGAGGCAGACTCACGCGCGATAGTCTCACGAATCAAACTGAACTGGAGGGAAGCTGCATTACGCAGTCCTCCCATGTTATGGGTGATATCTTGCACCCAGCGGACGAGGTTCTTTTCGAGCCTGTACTCTTTTTCAGTGCCTGCCACATAGTGCTCAAGTTTAGCTTCTCGGACGAGCCTGTCCAGCTGGCTATAGGCCTTGCGATGCCTCGCCTCTGCATCAAGGAATTCGGCCGATACAAGGACCTCCTCAGTCCCACTCAAGAAGCTTTCCGTGATAAGTGCCATCATGAGAGCTAATGTATCAGTCACCGTGACGAGGTTCGAGCGTAGCTTTTTACGCGCAGATATGGGGAAGACGAAAAAGGATACGACCATGACCGCGAATACGCCCATCAGGACCATCTTCAAGACTTGGAAGATCTTGGCAAGGGACAAGTCGCCGCTTTGCACAGAACCTTCCTTGGTCAAAAGGGTGATTGTTGACAGCGCAGTGAGTGAACATGCAACGTTCACTAGAGGATCTCCCAGTCGTTGCTTGGTCCAGCCGACAAAGCCAAGACCACCGCCACAAAATACTATCAGAACCACCGCATGACCAAGGGCAGGTGATTCCAATGTGTCCTGGAAAAACATCTCCACGAACATGCTGGTAATAGTCAAAAAGGTAGAATAGCAGAACGCCAGGAACGCGCAAATCAAGGCCTTGAACATCGCACCCTGAGATCTGGCAGGGTGAAAGTAGACCGTAACTGTAGCCACCATGTGTTTCCCATCCTGATGGCCCAGCATGGCCGAGATCGCGGGGATAAAAGTTGCGAGAGATCCAACCAAATACGCAAGACTGTACTTCAAGACCCCGATTCCCGGTTCTGACCTAACGAACTGATTTGTCTGCGTCCATTTCTCATGTATACGGCGCGTGAGCGCGTCGAGGTACCCCTCATAATGTTGGATCTCGTTTGTGAGCAGCCCACGCCTTTCCTCGGTGTCGTCGGATATGGGTGTGGAGTTTCGGAGGTTAACGAGGCCTTTCAGGCGCTGGCCTGTTTTCGGGAGAACAAATGTAGCCTGGCGGAGCTTCACCGACAGTTAGTATCTCTCAAGTCAGAAAATGCAAGAGTACATACCGTTGGGCGCGAGCGGCGGGAGCTGCTGGGAGTTCCAGACGGCATCTTTCAGGTTTCACGTACTTCGCGTGGACTCAGGGCGTTGTACAAGCCCCATGGCACATGTTTTGATGACTCGCCCTTTCTCCGCTATTTAAGAAGACGCCAGAGGGTTGTGCGGAGGTGCAGAGAGCTATGCAGGTGAATTTGTTGGCAGCGATTGGAAGGTAATTACGGCCACCTCCCATCTGCCATTGCCACGCACCTCTTTTTTTTGCTTTTTACCTTTGTCTAACTACAACTCGGACGGCTTGATATTAATAGATTTGATTCTCCATACTTTCGAATCCCTTTGATTAACAAAGAAAAGGTTAAGCTTGATCTTTATAATTTCGCAGCAAAATATAGCCACAGCTACTTCACAATTATTTCAAGCCTTCCACTTTCCACACCTTCACCGCTGCATCAGCACCAGCTGAAATGATCTTGGATCCTCCTGCAACCCATCCGACGCCATGGACACCCTCCTTGTGAGCATTCTGTAGCTCAAGCCAGTCGCCTGGCTTAGCCAAGCTCCAAACAAAGATGTTTGTATCCAGCGATCCACTCACAACGTGTGAGCCAGCCTCGTTCCAGGCAAGTGATGTGATTCGTGCAGTATGCGCCGTCCAGCGGTCCGTAACCAGACTGCCATCGGAAACCTTGAAAACCAGGACACGTCCCCGCAAATCACCCACGGCCAAGTGTGAGGCATCAGGGGAGAAGGCAAGAGCAGAGATCGCATTGCGAGAGGCATTGATGTCTGCCCGGGGAGAAAGCCGAGAGCTGGAGATGGCACAAATCTGAACAGATCCATTCTCACCTCCAACGGCTGCCTGAGAACCGTGTGCGGCTACAGTTGTAGCTGCAAAGTCGGTCTTGTATTCTCCGGTCTTCTTGCCATCCTGGAAGATCTCGACGGTTTCGGCTTCGCCAACAAGCACGGTCGTGCCGCCAGACGCAACATCCTTAGGCTGTCCATTGAGCTTGGAAGCGCTGCCAGTGTATGTTTTAGCAGCGACATCGACAGAACGGAGGGTGTCGTCCCAGCCGACACTGTAAATTCTACCGCTTCCCTCTGATGTGGTTGCAAGCCCGGCGACGTAACCGGGGTGGGCATCTCCTTCAATCTCTTCGGCCTTTCCTGAAGCTACGTCCCAGTTGCAGACTCTTCCGTCAAAGCTGCCTGTCCATAAAGTTTCCTTGTTATCCACAGTAGTCTGTGCCAAGGAGGTAATGCTCTTCTGGTGACCCGAGACAACCTGGCGGGGTTCGGGGGTTCCCTCGACCAGGTAGTTCAAGTCTCCGCTGAGAGACAAACTGATGAGCAGGTTATCGCTTCTGCCTGGGGGCCAGACCACACCAACTTGGTGGTCGCGAACAGCCATAGCACCCTCCTCTCCCAAGGTCCAGGTTTGTGTTGCTTTGCCAGCTTCCACATCCCAGATCTTGACAGTCCGGTCCGCACTTGCAGTAACAAACTTTCGCGAGTCCTTGGCCCAGGATACACCAAAGATACTGCCCTTGTGCTCTCCTTCGCCGATTTGACCCTTGGTCTCACCAGTCTTGCCGTCGTAGAGCCAGATCTTCCGGTCTGCGCCAACACTGACTAAGTGCGAACCATCCGGGCTAAAGCCAACTCCGTAGATGTAGTTTGAGTGTTTATCGGCAATTCCGTTGTTGAACTTGAAAGGCGCTCCGTGGTAGAAGACTGTCTTCCTGTCGTCACCAGCAGTAGCGGCACGCAGAGGCCGCTGCTGCCTAATTGACACAGTGTTGAGCTGTTGCGTATGGCCGTGGATCTCTCCAACGGTATTTCCACTATCCCAGGTAATACAGTGTCCATATCGCTGCTTGCCATCGCCGACAGCAATAATGCGCTGGGAGTCGCCATCCCAGGCCAAATCGTTGATTCGACCATTAACAATGCTGTATTCACCCTTGGTGATTCCTTCACCGACACAATCCCATACTCTCACGATTCCAGCAGCGTCGCCACTTGCAACGTAGAAACCAGAGGGGGCGAAGCGTGCGACAGTTGTCTGCGCCTTGTGTTCGGTGTACTGCCTAGCGACTGCGGGGTCGTCGATTGAACGCAGGAAGATGGATTTGTTGGACTATAATTGTTTGTGTCAGAACAAGGCAGTGTGATTGTAGAGATTCTTAGAATCACATACTGCATAGGCCAATCGCTCGCCTTTAGAATCAGAAGAGAGCTGGGTGGGTTGGCCGCGGGTGGTGGAGGGGCTAGGAGCCCAAATGGACTCTTTGGATATGTCAGGTCAGGATAATAAAAGATAATATGAGGTTGTCAGGTTCTCACCATTCGTAAGTGACATTGCTAAGGTCTGCACTCTCAACCAGAGGAGTTGGGAGAAAGCAGAGGGAAGTCCGTTAGTCCACTGTTTATTGACTGACGTACCCGGGCCACAATAGCGGGGAACACAGCCACGCCTTGTCTACATAAAACAAGCATTCGAGGATATGCAGGAAAAGAGAAATATCATGATCAACACATACAAAATATCTCTGGTAGCTCCAAATATTCTAGCACAAAGGAAGTTGAAAGTCGTAGCTCTCAATAAAATCAATGCATAGCGCTAAGAGTAATAATACACTAAGTCGTGCCCCCTTCCACCAGGCACCGGCCTGTACTTGTACAAGGAAATCTCCCCAAATCTGTCTAGAATCCCAAAAACAATGACTCCAAAATAGTATGTGCGGCTTAGAAACCTCCAGGGCCCTCCATACGTGCCCGCATCTCGGATGCGAGGATTTCAGGGTGTCGGTGGACACTAGGCATAAGACCCATGCCGATGGCTCTCCGGAGTGCCTTAGCAATTTTGCGCTGGTTGACAGGTCGGAGACCGGTGATGGATCGGGGTTTGATACGGCCCATGCTAGTCATATATTCAGACATGACGGAGAAGTTCTGTGATAACAAAAGAGCCAACAATTAGCTGCTGTTCATCATGATATATACTCCATCAAAACAATGGTTCCATTGGCTCGAGGACTCCGTACCTTGTACAAATCGATGGGATTGAGGTTCAATGCATCGAAAGCATCTGTCTGAGGGTTCTGGCGCTTTCCCCATTTCTTCATCTCGGCCGGGCTAAGATCGTGAGGGGAGTAGACATCTCCAGCCTTGAAGTCACGGGTTTGGTATCTCTCAAGGGCTCGGCTCTCGCCTTGCGCCTTCTGGTCCTCGAGGAACTTCAGGCGACTGGGTAAACGGCGCCGTTGAACCACTTGGGAGGCTATCGCAACACATTAGTCGCTGATCACACTCAAATAAATGTGTTCCATATCATCAAATGTGACAACAAATAGATCATCTGGGTGTATCGGGTCCATCACATACTCTGTGAGCTTGTGGCGCGCTGGGAAGTGAAAGCGCTCATGGCAGCGGTAGAGCTCCAGCGACAGAGCGACAGGCCAACATTGGCTGTGGTCGCAGCATTGCGGAGAAATGACGACGAGGAAAAGAGGTTCAAAGACATCTTGACCTTTCAATCCCCGATTAGTTGTAGATGTTGAAGACGGTGATAGGGAGACCGGGCAACGCGGAGATGAGATCTTTTTTTGCCAAGCCTTCTTCCGCCTCCAGGTCTCTCCGCGTCGCGAACCCCCATTTTTCATGATTCCATGCGGATTGCGAGTCAACTTGGGACCACACATTTCTATCCAATTCCTCTTGTTTAATTTGAGCTATAAGCTCACTCCACATCATCCATAATGCAGTCCCATCTCACGAGGCGGGTCTTCCGGGCAATTATCAACAATGAACCACTTCGGTTCTCCCAATGCCATCGAAATCGCCTATTGCACACAATCACTCCTGCCCGAGTACGACCTGCTATGTCGAGTCTCCCTTATACATCACGACGCAACCTCTTTGTCTTCAGCTCAGACCCCGAGCGGTCACAATCTACTTTGCCCTCTGAAAAGGGCCTGAAACCAATGGCTGACTTGATGAGGGCACTCAAAGACAGAAGCAGAACTCCTCCGAGCGATATTCTTGCAAAGGCATTCCAAACTTTTTTCACAATGCGGCTTGAGACACCAATGCTCATCAGTCATTTCCAAGCCCGCGCGCTGATCGTCACCTTCAAGCATTTAAGGGCCCAGCAAAACGAGATGGAGGAAGAAGACTGGCAGAATGTTTTCTCGACTGAGAACCTCGAAAAAGTGTTGGATGTACTCTCTGAGTCTGGCTGTGCCCCGCAGGCTCGTGAGGTGGTCATGAACCTTGCCCGATACGCATATCAAGAACTAAACCTCGATCACGGATTTGGTCCGGGGAAGATCAGCCGGCCGGCCCTTGGCCTCTATATCAACATCTTGGCTATGAATGGCAATCCGGAGGATGCTAGGCATACCTTATTGAAGTTTTGGGGTCAAATGAGCAAGGCTATCCCGTCACCGTGGCTCACAATTATGAAAGGATTTGCCATGAAGGACGATCTACGACAGGTGCGGAAGATTGTTGATGAGTGGGGAAACCACGGCAACAAGTTTGACCAAGCCTCGCATGGAGAGATCGTTAGATTTCTCGTCGACCATGGTCAATGGAAAGCGGCTCAAACTGTGTACGACTCCCCAATTGCCGGTGACTCAGAACCCTCTATGGCTGCGAGAGAGGCTCTCATCAAATATTATCTCCTGAATTCGCGGGTAGAGGCGGCGGAGGAGATCTTCAAGTCTCTCCCCAATGAGCCCACCGAAGATACTGCTGGCATAATATTGCTCTGGGAAGCAGCAAAGGGGAGCAATGCTTCTGCTCTTGCACAAAAGGTCCATGCATGGATTGCGAAGGATTCTCAACTCAAGGGCTCCATCAACATTGACCTTGTTAATAACCTTATTCAGTATGCAAATGCGACGCAAAACCCCCAGTTGGCTTCTGATTTCATGGCGCTGGCAGGCCAGTGGGGTCTCACCCCAGATAGCCAAACCCATATCTTAGAACTGGAGTCACGCATCCAGGCCGGCGATGTCGATGAGACCTTGAAGATCATCGAAGAGAAGGTTGACGCGGCTTTCCTCACAAGCCACAACCTACCAATTGCAAACAAGCTCATCGCGATGCTCTGTCGATCCGAGGAAAAGGACGCCTTATTCGACCAAATATCCTCCCTTCTAGACCCGCTTTTCCAAGAGAACGTGCGTCTAGAATCTGCAACCATCGCCGCATTGACACACATGCTCCTTTACCGCAACGACCTCGATGCTGTTTCGGAGTTGCTACGTCCACGACTAGGCAGCTACAGCGACGAACAGAAGATGCCGGTGCGCGATGCGCTCGCCGAGTACATTATGGACAAAAGCCAGCCCGATACAGACGTGTGGAATGCATACGAACTTCTGAAGATTGCATTCCCGGAAACGTGGGTCTCAGTCCGCACCAAAATCATGACCTCCTTCTTCAACCGGAAGCGCAGCGATCTTGCCGTCTTGGTATTTGGGCATATGCGTCAAGCCGACGAACCCGGCCGACGCCCTAAGGCAGATACTTATGCGCGCTGTTTCCAGGGCCTGGCTCGCACGGCAGATGGGACCAACCTGGAGCTCGTGCACAACATGTTGAAACTTGATCTTGAAGTGGATCTCAACACAAGAATCCTAAATGGTCTGATGATGGCATATGCCGCGTGCGAGATGCCAGAAAAGAGCATGGAAATTTTCAAACAGATTCTTCAGTCGGAAGAAGGCCCTTGTCACAAGACTATCACGATTTTCTTCAAGGTCTGCGAGAAGCATCACAATGGTGCCCAGGAGGCTATCAAGATGATGAATAAGGTTAAGAAGCTGGAGATCACTGCGAATCGCCCGCTCTATTCTGCGTACATGGAGGCCTTGGCAGCGCAATGCGAGTTTGACCTGGCCGTTGAGGCTATCAACAACATGGAAGCTGAGATTGGGCTTCCTCCTACAAGCAATACGTGCGTACATATTCATTGGCCCTCTTATGTTCTGATCGCTAATATATATCCTAGTATCGGGCTGTTCTACAACGCTATCCCGTATCAATACTGGAAGGATGAGGTGGAGAAATGGGCGAGTGAGAAGTATCCCGAACATTGGGAGCATCTGATGACGATCAAACGCACCGATCAAGAGGAAGGACTGGAGTTTGACGGCATCTCAAATGAAGTGTCGGTGTAATAATTTTTATATTTAAATAGCAAGCGAATGTATCATAGTCCCATAAAAGCACCGAGAAATCGTACTGTTTGAAACCCCCTTCCCTATTGGTAGTGTCTGTAAACAATGGGGGTGCTCGTGGCGGATATAGTGGACCCTTTGAGGACATAGCGGCATGCTGGACAACAAAAATAAAGTGGGCGAACAGGGAGAGACAAATATCATCAAAGTACACTTGTGAGAAAGATAGGTTAATAGACCTTTAGACATCCATCACGCCCAGACTCTGAGTTAAGATGGCCTTGGTGTTCTCCTAAATATATCGCTCTCTCCTTCATCGCATATATATAGTTCCCCCACGTAACAATGTTTGGGATTCTCCCAGTCTCTGCACCCCTAACCTTGGAAGCTAAAAAATGTTCGATGTGATTTCCCCCAAAAGTCACAATCTGCCTTTTGAAGCGGATGAATTCAGCACCCAAAGAGGGGCCAGACCAGGTGGTTGTTTGTCTTGTTTCAGCCGCATATTCTCGGCAGAAACCCGGGTCCATTGGATCATTCAACAGTGTGGGACTCCAGTGATATTGAGAAATCGGGATGAGCCATTTAGCGCTTTGGACTGGTCAACAGAGCTAGTATTCCTAACCAATTCCACACGGTCTATTAAAACGCCATCACAGGACATTCAATTGGCTGGGGCGCATGCATGCAGCACTGATTAGCGCCGAGAGGCACCAACCAGCTACGGTCAGCTGGGATTAATAAATGCGAATGGGTTTGCTTTTTATTGCTCCTTATTGAGGAAATATCTTCACCAAAGTGCAGCTGGCGTGGTTTAACCCCAGTATTTGTGAGTTTCTTTTTTTGATGCTATAGAACACTCGGGCACTATGGCTGATTCTTTCGTACGCTCGCCCACTGGCTTGACTCGTTCGAGGACACTTATCGATCTAGAAGACTTGGCTGCGCAAACTGTTCGTGGCAAAAGACAGATTCGGCCAAGGAACCACGGTCTCGCTAGCAGGATAACTGGACTTTTTGTGAGCCACCTCCCCCAAACAAAAAAGCTTCTTCAGAACGATAATAACAAAAACGTAAAGTCCCGACGCGATTCCAATTTTGATGAGATACTTAAGATTATCTCTGAAAAGGAGTCCCTGAAGAAGGACTACCTGAAAATCACCGGACGACCCAACCTAGGCCTAGTTGAACAAACCTTCACGTATAAAGCGACTGATGCGGAAGAACTTACATTTGAGAGAAAGGATACCTGGGACGTGTGTTTTGAGCGGTTACGCTCTGCTGCAGAGAAAAATGAGAATGAGTTGGAAATCTGTCTCGTTACCTCAGACACCACGCATCTTGGCCGCACGTTTTCCTTTATTCACCGAATCTTCTTTGTCGGTCACGATCGTTTTCAACAAGCTTATTCCCTGCCGAGTCAAATAGTCATTCGTATTCTCCACAAACAATGGATATTCAGTGATGAAATGATGGCTAGGATTACGGAAAGCCTATGTCCAAAGGAGGGTTCTCTCTCGGCATGGCAACCAAAGCTGCCATCTCAACGTACAGTACCTGACCCATGTAAGCTCTTATTTCCATACTAACTAGGCATAGAAGGTAATACAGCGCAAACAGAGGGCTCCGTCCAGGTGCCATTGAAATTTACGTTTAAATGGATTGATGCTCCGTACTACGCGACGGACCTTTCAGTTTATGTGCTTCGGCCATACGGAAGACATCCCCAAGTAAAAACCTTGGATGTTGTTTTAACCTCGATGCAATACGACCAGATTCGGCGGGCGATTGTGGTTGTCAACTCTCACAACACCCTAGCAGAGTTACGCAACTTGCTCCCCGAAGTATTTCAGCATGAAGTTTCCGGGCTTCCTTACATATTGCGGCTGTTCCGAGCTTTCTGTGCTAAGACCACCGATGAGACCGTCACTTTTCTAACAAAGGCATGCGACGATATCAATTATATGGTGAGCATTGCCACCCACGACAAAAAACCCTGTGCCGGGGCTGATTTGCTTAGGTCTACGAAGGACGGCTTCGTCCCTCTGGAAGCAAGATGCAATATCTTCGGCACCTGGAAGACTGCCACTATGTCGCTAAAGATTGCTGTCAAAAGAACCGATGTACCCTTCAGGTGCTGCTCGACCAAGTTCATTTGATTCAAGGACCACGCACTGATGACGAGACAAGCCTAATTAACGAGCTTGAAATGGCGAGGAATGATCTAGAGTACCTCCATGACGAAATTGAGTCCTCGTTGCAAAGAGTACCGGATGTATGTCGAGACATTCGCGAGCAATTGGATTTGGTCCAAATACGTCGAACAAACATCTTGGGAATTCTCGCTGGACTATACCTACCACTTGCGTTTGTGACCGTGAGTTCTTGATGTGACCCCCTTCGATCCATTTATTCTGATTCAATCAATTCCAGAGTTTTCTAGGTATGAATCTTGAACAATACACGCAGCTTCAACCATCTTGGCGCAATGTCACCAGGATTGATCCAACCAACCCGGACAACATCACCATCTCCCATTCCGAGATTGTGGACTCGGGAGCCAACCAAGCATGGTCTTTGGAATTATTCTTCGAGATTGCAGTGCCACTTATGGTTGGTACAATACTTATACCCCTTGTCATCGGAAGTATTACTCGAGCGTTTCTGCGAGCGGTTGGACATGGAAGAACTTGGTGGCGTCTTATATTTGCTTCTTTGGTCGTCTGGTCAGTTACCATCACTTTGAAGAGCTTCGGTGCCCCGATCGCTAACAGCCGTTGCCGCAGTTATTCCACCCTTTCATCCCTATATGCACCATACGTCACGGTGGGCCAGTTGATGTTTATACCGTTCTATTTGTTTATATTGCTCAATATTGCTACCGTGTGTATCCAAGGGAAGAGGATAAATCCGATTCCTCTCATCTACTGGTACATGAACACGGGCTTCATGACAGTGATTATGCTTTCTCCGGTGGATGATATAGGTGCAGCGATCATGGGGGCCATCTATGGCCTTTCTCTTTTTGTTTTCTGGTGGCTGAAGCCGGATCTCTATTACAGATGGGATCAAGGAAGAAGGCAGAAATCGAAGGAAAGCTGATCAAAAAGGTGTCCGGCGATTGTTCCCCTGTTCTATGCAACTTCTGACCTTGGATATAGGGGCCCAAATTAGAAAATATCTTTTGAGATTGGGAGGCCGAGTCTTTTGGTTCAGAGTCAATGGAAAGAATTCATGTCCTTGCCATCAAAATTGCGGATCTAGTCCTAGATGGACGATATCAACGGTAGAAGTCTATAATTTCCTTATAGATATCAAGGATCTCTGGCTATACAACAAAGTGCTCAGACGGCTTGAGCACAAATGAACCGACGTTGCTTGCTTGCTGCAAACCCACAGAACGCTGCCAATGGGCCATCCAGATATTTTAGCTATGGCAATAGATAAGACCAGACTGGAATTGAAGAAAGCTATACTAAACCCATACCGAGTATTGAGAGCACCTGGAAAAAGAAAAAGAACAACAGAAAAGAACATCCGATCATTCCCTTCCCTGACCACATCTCCATCAATGATTTCAATTCGTCTGTTCTGACCCTCAACTATCCCTCAGTGAACTTAGAAAACACATCCGTCGTCGCAGTGGCATATTCCCTCTCAATCGTAGCCCGAATGATCTCGTTGCGTACCACAGGTCGACAAGAATAATCTTTGGCACAGTAAAGGAAGCCGTGATGATATCCACTCACCGGATCACTATCCACCGGACCCTCTCCCGGCTGGAAGTCAAACGCCCACAGCAGTTTGGCAATGGCCAGGAACATGTTGCGCTCGGCGAGGTGGATGCCAGGACAGATCCGGCGCCCAACGCCGTAGCCGTAATGGTCGCGACGTTCCCATGTTCCCGCCACATAATCGGGAGCTAATTGAGGATGCTTGGCAAAGCGCTCGGGGATGAAAGCGGTTGGGTCATCCGGTTGGGACGGATCCATGTGCATTCCCCAGGTGTTGATTAAGACTGTTGTGCCTTTGGGGAGGAATTTGCCATCAACCCAGTCGTCTGGTAGAGGTGTTAGAAGTTGTGCATAATTTGAAAGAATGAAATATCCTTACCTTCTCCAAGTGCGTGAGGAAAACAGAGTGGAAGTATAGGCCTCCACCGGTGACCTTCCTTGACAATCATATTGATATAAGGAAGACGCTCAAAGTCCTCCCAAACAGGTGACCGGTTGTGGCCGACCACAGCATCAATCTCAGCATGGGCCTTTCGCTGGACATCGGGGTTCAGGATCAATGCTTGCACGATAGTTAGGGTGAGACTGGAGGTAGTGTCCGAGCCACCTTCCATCAGAACACCGCCGATAAAAGCCAGTTGGTGCCAGGGGAGATTATGTTTCTCCTGGCTATCCAAGACCCTGTCCATAAAAGTACCATTGTTGTGGCCATCCTCCCGTCGCTTGATCACCTTGTTCAAGATATTGTCGTAGAGGGTCTCCATCTGCACACCGATAGACTTGGCCCGGTCGATATAGTTGTTAAACATCCACTGTGGTAATAGTTTCAACCATGGGAACAAGTCTACTGGTGGTGTTGCGCCGGTTTCCATGACTTGCGACCATTCCTCCATAAGCTTATAAAGCCGTTGCATGTTTGATCCCTTCCGGTTGGCCGTGCGGATTCCGAATACTGTGATAGGGTTTTAGGGGTTGTTCACACAGTGAATCTATTATGGGAGACATACCGATTGAGTTGGTGATACTGTTACTGTACCGCTTGGGATGGGCCATATGGTGCTCCGGGTCGATCATGTAGTCCCGTACGAGTTGTATAGCTTCGGCGTTGACAATTTTGGTTTGGTGGGTTTCCACCATTGTCTCCATGAAGTGCTGGTGAACTAGTCGTCGGAAGGTGCGCCACTGGTCGCCATAATGCATGACCAGTAGGTGATTGCCCTTGGTGATGAGGTCGTGCGAGACGAAGGAGTGGGGCCGGTGGCTATAGATGCCACTCTTGCGATCGAGAACTTCTTTGACTAGTCGGCGATCGGTGATGACGGCCATATTGCCATTTCCGATCTTGAGCATGTATAGCCCGCCATACTGGGCAGCCCATTCGGTGAATCTGAACCCCGAAAGACAATGGCGGTGAGAATTTCCTGCGTGCTTTGAAGGAAAAGGGGAGGTCATTGGACATACTTGATATGGGTGTACTTCTTGGTGATCTGGTGAATGTTTCCAATAAAGGGTAAAGTAGGTGGACCTACCCCAGATGAGTAAATCCACTCTCGTTCAATCTTGAAACTGAAAACTCACCAGTGGGCATCGTGCTAGTCCGATGACCGTAGGTGAAGGCATATCGTATGAGCACGATGACTGGTAACAATACCAGGAGGGATAGCAATGATGGTTCCATAGTTAATGAGATCTATCCGGGTTGAATTCTTTGGGCGCTTGGATTCTTATGGAGACGAGTCCACCTGGGCACCTGGGCAGTGGGGTATGCTGACTTATAGATCGAAAGCGAGGGGCTTATGCCAAGGACCAAGGTGCATGCATAATGGAATTGGTTGTGATCGCCAAAGAAACTCGGGTACACATAGGAGCCCCAGCTAATATTCCACTTGGGGAAACATTCTTCTCTTTCATCATGTAGAATTAGCTCGAATATATCATAAAAGACGATTCTAGAGTTAGCTGACAACTGAAGGGAAGGAATTTGATATCCTAAACAAGTGCGTGGTTCGAAGCTCTGATGTCGTGAACGAGTTGACACAGGAGGCTGGGGCCCTCTATCTGAAGGGTGGATTTCATGGTCATCTGGCAGCGAGCGTCTATGTCTGACACAGAGTTTAGGAAGAATGACTGCATCATCCAGGAGGAAAGCTATCGATTCGGATTGTCTGGGTGTTGGATGGAACATGAAGTTATTAGAACTTGCTTGAGTGAATGAGGCCAACAAAGCCCCAATTTAGCATCCACAGACATATTGACCATACGTTGATAGTTTTCTCGACTGTATGATGAATTAAATGCGAATGGTTTTACTATTATATCCGTACTGTGCTTTATAAACAATCATAAGATTATTAGCAATATAGATTGATGAGCATCGGCCCCAACACTCGTCCAACAGCTTATCGTGTACAGCTAGGATTGGCCCCATTTCAGAGTTTTGCTTTATCCAGAACCCCCTTTAACCGCGGAAACAACTCTAAAGCTGCCCCGCTGTGTACCTGTCGTTTGGTCTCTTCTGGAAGCTCATACGCCTCCAAAAAGTCCGTGAAGCGTTGGATTGCGTCCGGCGGTGCATTTGGGAAGTCACTGCCGAAGAGCACATGGCCTGGTGCAGCGAACTCGAACAACGCCTTCAATGTGACTGGGTTTGATGAGATGGCAGTGTCAAAGTAGAAGGTCCGGGCAGACTCCACCAGCTCTTCGGTCGACAGACCGAGCGTGCGTGGCATCAATGGCAGCATGGTAGCCGCCCGATGGATGAGGTATGGCAAGGTTCCGCCCGCGTGAGAGAGGATGATCTTGCATCCTGGGTAGTCTTGCAAAATGCCACTTGTCAGCAGATCCATCGCGGCCCGGCCAGTCTCATGCGGATAGTCAAACATGGGCTGCGGGAGCCAGGTGTTTATGAGCTGCGTATCGACTGGATGGGTTGGGTGTATGAAGACCACGGCACCGCGGCGGCTGAGATCAGCCCATATAGGCCGAAAGTCTGCATTTCCCAGGTAATTAGACCCCTTGCCATAGCGGGTGAATAGTGTCACTCCATCCGCATGGAGAGTGGTGCAGGCGTAATCAATTTCCTTCAACACCGCCGCTGTATCAAACAGAGAGGGGACTGAGGCGAAGAAGCCATATTGGCGCGGCTGGGCGTCCCGAATGGCGGCCGCAGACTCATTACAGCTGCGCGCTAGGGCAGCAGCTTTGGTAGGATCAGGCTCGATACCTGGCCCTGGTGCGGTGACGGAGAGAATGGTGGTGGTCACCTTCATCCGTCGTGCCATATCTTGATCTAGCTCCAGCGTCCAGGGCGGCGTATACCAGCCCGAAGGATCACCACCTGCACGATCCAGGGCTATTAAAGGTTAGCCAATGGGGATCCGCTCTAACATGCGTGAGACTGACCTTGACGCATGGCCAGAGGATAGAAATGGTGGTGCACATCGATTTTCGCCATCATGGAAATCGATAGCCTTTGAAAGGTCAGCACTTGGTGGGCATTTCTTCCTCAAATACAGATCCCTGGCAAACATGCCATGTGCGACTGGCCACCTGCGGTATTCCCCTTTCCCTTGCATTCAGCGACCGTACCACCCTGATTAGCGATCATCATGATACCAGAGCAGGATCTTTGAACGCGGATTATTTGCAGGGGTTTCGGAATACTCCGAAGAAACGGACACATCGAGAAAGGAGAATTACGGTGTGTGCTTACGGTATCTGCACGCATATGTGCGCTTCAAAGTGGTGGTCTTCATTTATGGGCGCTTAGTCCTCTCATCACCCTGTCCTCTGCCTCCGAAAGAGGAAATATCCCTCCGAAACTCCTTTGGGGTGATCATCTTCCCTGCAGCAACAGTTTGTCCTTCCACTATAGCGCCTGATCTTAATCAGGCCTTGGCAGTGTCACCTTCAGGTGCTCGTCGAATACCCAGATGACTAGCCAGAGGTGGAGTTCCTGAGCATGGGTGGATATTTCGGCTATTAGAGAAATGGCAATCCCAGTGAGGGCTAAAATTAAGCTTCGCTTGCAGTCGCGCTCTCTACGCCGCGCTCGGGGAAATGTCACAATGGCGTTGTCTGACGCTGGCGTGCCACCGGTTATAAACCCCAACTGGCTCACCGATTCCATGGATATCGAACTCGCGGCGGCGGCTTTCAAGTGGACGCGCGACTTCTTCAATACCACTGCTAAAGCTCACTCTCATTGTTCCTGAATACTTCCCTCGTTCTCAGGTCGCTGCCGATGTGGAAATTCTGGATCATGTCCGGAAAAGCGTTGGTCCTCCATGACTCCTGTACCTGCCCGATGGGCATGGAAAATAATACCTGGGCGATTCTTGACTCCAAAGCTTGAGTCATCGCCGCTCACGCTCTACGGGTTGTGGATGCCTCGGTTTTACTATTACTACCACCAGGCTAGCCCACGCTTTGTAAGTCTTTATCATCCATTATAAGGTTATACATACATCTTTCAAATACCAAGTGGAGGTAAATACTCAATCTATCATGCCTTTCACACCTTTCACGCTCCATCCTATGCAGATTTCACACCTTCCCACCTTTCATACTCCTTTCTATGCAAATGCTATCAACATGACAAACATAATGGGATCTGTCCCTCATATGCTTTCTCATTCCTTACTACATGGTGATGACGGCACGGAACCGTACACTTCCCTCCATCATAGCCTCTGTAGGAAACAGGAAAGCACGTCAGAGAGAATAAATCAATTAACAAAGGAAGAGGATATCATACCGAATGCTTCGTTGCACTGTTCCAAGGGAAACTCCTTCACCAGACAGTTGATGCTATGTAGGTTGGCAAACGCGATGGCTTCCTCGGAATCGGTGGCATGACCACTGGGCCAGCTCCAGATGGATTTGCCCTTTCCGACCTGAAGTGAGATCAGTACACATTATCTCCATCGCTCAAATCCTCTCATCGTCTGTCTTCCTTTGCATCTGATTTTCAAAGGTAGCGAAATCCCACTCACCAACAAGCCAGTATGCACCTCAATACCGCCAACAACTATACTCATCAGCATCCAATCAAATACCCAGGGAACAAAATGCCTCAAGACTACCACCAAGGAAACCTACTAGATAGAATCAACAACTTCCCCATCACGCCGAGGCCCTGAATCAGCGGGTTAATAATCTCCGGCACAGGCGCCGTAGACACAATCAGCGAAGCGCCACCAAGCTTCTGCAAAGCAGCAACAGGATCCTCTTTACTCGTGTCAATATACTCATGCGCTCCCAACTTCCGTGCGAATTCCTCCTTTGTGGAGTCTCGCGAGAGCGCCACGACACGGTAGCCAAACTTGTTGGCATACTGGAGCGCCAGATGACCGAGTCCGCCCAGACCCTGGATGGCGACCACTTCACCGGGCGGGATGTTCATTTTGCGCATCGAGTTGAAGACGGTGACACCGGCACAGAGCATAGGTGCGTATTCGGCGGCATTGACATGGTCGGGAATGTGCACGGCGGCTTCGCGGCGGATGAGACAATATTCGGCATCTACCGGAGTAGAAAGGGTTATATTAGTATTGAGATATTATTCCAGTTAATGGAATAATAGAATACTGATATATCATGGGAGAAGGGAGAGAAGTAAAAAAAGGACAAAGACATACAGCCGCCATTTCGGGAAATTCCGTTGAACTGCCCGTTATCGCACATCTGGAAGAAGCCCTTCTTGCATGCCCCGCAGGTACCTGTCCAGTGTATCATGTATCAGTATGGTCTCGAAGGAACCGGCCGTTTGAAGGTCAGGAATGAATAGTATACGTACCATCGTGCCCGCCGTGCCATGCACCTCCTATCCGATCTCCTTCCTTCCAAACGGTCTCGCCCTCCCCAACGGCTGCCACACGTCCGATGATTTCATGACCGGGAACTATGGGACTGTACAAGAGCCAGAAGTTAGGTAAAGATTCATGTATTCCATGATGGGATGGCTCACAATCCTCCTCCCATGAGATTCGTTTGCGCAAAGTGGTCCGAATGACACACGCCGCAGGCTTCGACTTTGACCAGAATCTCGTCGCGCTTGGGAAGATTCAGTGTAACCTCTTCCAGGGTTAAGGTCCCGCCTTGTTCCTTGAAGGCCGCCTGCTTGTAGGTGCTGGGAATCGAGGAGCCCATGGTGTGTATTTTGTTGAAGAATTGATAGATGCGCGAAGTAATTTGTTTCTTCAACTTCAATGCGAGGTGAGAAGGTAGAAAGATGAGGACTATATATATGTTTATTTGGTCTTTGATCTATCTTAACTACTAGGTAGGATACGGAGTCGGAGTTTCGGAGATCAGTCTATCCCGAAGTCAAAGTAACAAATATTGCAGTTGATTATAAACCCTGTAAGGTATTCAGGATACCTGGAGCTTTATCAGCCGCACCTGAAACATGCCCAGGAAAATATCGGCCGTTGAGATCAGGTTATCTCCTATCTCCGGAAGATATTTTGATTACACTAGCTGGGTAAATTATGATTTATAAACAAAAGAAAACGAGGCACAGACCTAGAGACTTACCTCGCTCGAAAGGGAAAAGAAGAAAGGAAATCCCATTACCAAATACATCCTAGTGACAGATCCAAAGGGAGGTTTCCTCTTTCATTGGTGCTCCTCCCGCCGTGGAACGATTCTAAAACCGACGACGAGGCAACAGGCAGGATGCAACCACGTACAGAGCGCCCGCCGAAATCGCCATTACGTAGACATCACTGATTGAACTCACAATCACCTTCAGCGCTGCCGTCTTCAATGCTGGGGGCAGCCGCTCCATCAGAGTACTCTGGGCACCGGCAACGGCACCCTGGATGTCAGCCTGCGAGTATCCCTTATCGGCTAACAGAGAAGTGAGCCCACCAAGGGTCTTGGTCTGGAAAATAGCACTTGCGATGGCCAATCCCAGGAGCTGACTCTGGCCCTGGCCGATGTTCATGAACTGGAGACACTCAGCCACGCGATCGGGGGTCACAATGGCCGGACCCACCGCGTAAGCAGCCTGCGTTGTGGTCATACCAAGTCCCATCAGGATGGAGTACCCGTAGACATTGGCGGGCCTAGTATCCAATTTCACGGTGTACATCAAAACGGCTCCAATGAGCATGAAGACACCGCTCAGCAGGTACCAGATGATAAAGTAGCCGGTCTTGGGCATGACATAACCGCAAAGTAGAATTGTGGCCACATAGAAGCAGATAAACGGCAGTAAACGCACCGCTGACATGATGCCGGAGTCGCCGTGGACAAACTGGAAGTAGAGTGGGATATAATAAACTGCCACAAAGAGGGCTGCACCACCACAGGCCATGATGACATATAGGAGGATCATTGTGGGGTCTCGCAAGAACTCGCCGGGGAACAATCGGTCGTGTTTGGTGGTTCCCACGCAGAAATACTGACTGGCGAAGAAAGCAATAGTGCAGACGGCGGATACCACGTACAAAGCGATATTCCGCCCATCCGTCCAGGACCATTCGACACCGCCAAATACGATGAACAAGATGATGGAAATGTGCATTCCTGCGGAAAGGACGGTCCCAACCCAGTCTAACTCCACAAGCTTCTTGAGGAAGCTGCGGCCTTCGCCTGCTGGGCGTGGTAGAGAGGGCAAAAGGAATACATAGATGGGTGACATGACTCCAAAGATGACCAGATTGAGATAGAATGACTGTCCACTGCAGTTAGCATACTTGACCGGAAATTGCGAAGTGGATTCTACGTACCCATCGCCATGTGGCCGAGCTGTCGGAAAAGGCACCGCCAATGATAGGACCCAGAATACAGCCAGTGCCATAGATCAATCCAACCAGGCCAACATACACAGGCTGCTCCGTGGGGGTGGTCAGGATAGTGATCAGATTCAGATTTCTAGGCAATCATCGTTAGTCCTCACTCTCTTCCTGCTCTGCCTATCACGATGAAACTTACCCTAGATACATGCCCGCTCCTCCGGCTCCCGCCCATACACGCCCAACAATGATGGCATTCATACTAGGGGCAGCACCACAGAGGGCACTGCCAGCCGCAAACATGGTCAGACAGCCAAGGAAGAGCCATTTCGTGTCGAAGATAGCGTAAGCTTTTCCCAGCGGGAGAATGAAAACCACCGATCCCAAGGTGAAACCCACGCCGAGCCAACCCAGCCGCGTGTACTCATTAAAGTCACCCGCAATGGGAGCTTGGATATCCGCCACAATGGTATTATCCAGGCCATAGAGTAGGTTGGCGGAGAAAACGGCAATACAGACGAGCAGCCAGCGGAAGCCTACAATTTCCCTGGCTGGAGCTGCATCCTTCTCAGCATCCCTAGCTTTGATCGGGATTGATTCGTCCACGCGATCCAGGGGTTGGCTTTCGAGCACGCTCTCACTTGGCGTCGAAGTGTCTATACTCATGGCGGGAAGGGAACTGAGCGGTACTTAGTCGGCTGTTTGAAGGTCCACGGATTCAACTATCTAGGCACTTACTCAATGGAGTCGTAATAACGTGGAAATGATAGGTAGGAGTATAAATATCCGCTGGAGGACGTTGGCGAGAGTATTGATGTCCATATTGTTCGACTATGGGTGGTTATTTAAATGCTAGCACTGCTGGGAGAGGATATTTTGGTGACAGTTCATTACCTCTTTGGGACATTCATCTTTGTCAGTTGAGGACCTGACCAATCGTAGCTTACCATTTGACTTACCAACTCCGAATCTCCTTTGGGAATCCGAGTGGGACCTCGGGAATTCCCGAGATTACCCAATCATTTTCGGAAATGCCCAAGTGGGCCCACCTATAAAATTCAATTAAGTGGGTCGGGCTGGACCTGCATCTATGAATCGGCACTTGAATTTCTAATCGTTTCCAAGATTTTTTAAGATCGGAGACCTTGGTTGGTCATTAGTAGCTATAATACAAAACAACCTTAGAAATGTGGCACCGCCGAGTACTGTCCTCCACAGACATAGGTTGTTGTATTTACACTAATGCAAAAACCTCACTCAACCCGCCCAAAAAGAATACAGCACACTAACTACATCTTCACAAAAGATAACCAAAAACAAACATACAACAGCATGTGGAAAAGCGAGGTATCCATCATTACAAGGTTCCACCGAACAAATCCAACTGCAATTGCAAAGAGGAGGAGATAACGTGGGAGAGGGAATTGTATATGCGAAATCGCTGCTTATGGGTGGTTTCTTGTTAATGAGACCGATGCTTATTTTTTGTGGCAGTATGACTTGGAGTATCCTTGTCCTGCTAGCTGTTCGAAGACGACTAGTGGCTCTAGTTGCATATATTCCTCTATTTGGTATTTAAGATTGTATAATCTGGGCTGTCTTTACGTTACATGCACATGAAGTCAAAAACTGGATTCAATCACAATTTATTCGTCGAGTTATAATTTGAAAGCTTGTCTGAACTGCGTTTCCCCAAGAAACACTACTTTCCATAAAGTAAGGTCCATTATTCAGTCACTGCGCGCATTGAGCTGTTGGGCGAATCCCTTGGTATCATCAATAGTAGCCTGTCCACTCCGAATGAGGGATCGCAGTTCATTCGCCAGTGCAGGTGCCCGCTCTGCCTCTGGTATTTCTCCTTCATTGACTACCACAGCTTGGAAGTCTAACACTATGCCTTCTATCTGGTTATCAATTTTTTCTTGTAGTGACCCGAGGCTTTCGGCCATGAGTCCACCGTAGACATTCTTGGCATGTATAGAGTATTTGGAAAATAACCTGGAGTTTCTCAAGTGGTCTTCCATGTGACTCTTTCGCCGTTTATCACTACCTGATCCTGATATACGGTTAATGACTAATAACGATGTTGCCAAGATGAATTTTCGCGTACCTCCCTCACTGTTACAATGATTATAACATGGCTCCATGAGCATCGAGATAAATGAATCATTGTGATGCTCTAGCATGTCTCGCTTGGTAATTCTGGGAGATTATTAGACCCATTGCTTCACTCTATGTTCAGGTGAGGTTTGCCATACTGTGTCTTTAGGATGAGGTTTCTCATCTCATTCTTGATGTGCGTATTGATATTCTCTCGTCTATGTCCTATGTTGACAATAATGTTTCGTAGCGCGTGGGGTGCAAGATGCTGATGCTCTGTAAATATGCAGGATATTAGAACGAAACATTAAAAAACGAGTATTTTCAAAAGAGAATAACGACTTGCCTTGGATCTCGGAACGTAGTAGTTGAAATGACTGGTCAACTTCATCAGTCAAGGTTTCAATTCTTGACTCCAGCCAATCCATTATGTCTTCCCATGCGGGATCCAATGCTTCACGAGTTCGCTGCATGAGTTGCTCATTCCAGGGCCGCTCATTCTTTTGTGCGTTAGTGCTCCACGTGCCGTAGTGTCGACAGAATGCAGCGTATGAGGTGTGGTGCCACTAAAAGATCATTCAGTGATGTGCGACATATTTTCCAAAATATCTATCAAAAGGTGAGAATTACCTTTACCCAGCGCTGGCTGACGTTCAGGCTTTCTTGTTTCCACTGAGTTCGAGACGTATCTGTTTTATGAAGATTTCAGAGCTAGTGAAGGTAAGGAGAGGTGATTCTGCTTACCGATACAGAAGATAATAGAATTGTCAAAACGCTCTCTCAAGTTTCGAAACATGCAAGCTAAATGGTCTTCCGACGATTGGAAATCCTGTTAAATATCAGAAAAAGAAGCCTGAGCCATTCAAGGCATTCTTATTTCTAGGCATACCCGATGAAGAACATCTTGAGAATTACGCAGAACACGGCGAAGCTGTGCGGCCTTTTCTGCAGTGACCGGGTCTGTACCAGAAAGGGCCCATTGAAGAATTGAGCCCACCATTGCCGGGACTTCATCTTCCAGGAACGCTGTTGTTGCACGCATTTGAGCTTCAGCTGGGACTAGCTGGCAATAGCGGCGCAGCTCTCGTATACCAGTCAGCTCGAGATACCTATCTGCCTGGGTTGGGTCACTGTTCCGATGTTCAGAGTATAGTGTGTTGCTGACACAGAATACCTGGATGTCGTCATATTTCCTGCGAAGCTCGCGTGAAACGTTGAGGTTTCGCCGGTGGATGAGGAAGCGCGTAATGCTGCGTTACAGGTTAGTATCAAAGTTGGTATAATTGATGATCAAGGTATTGACTTACTCAAACTTCAATTCGTCTACCTGGTCACTGTCCTGGAGTCAACATAGGTGTTATGGCAATGAGGGAAAGCGATAGTCACCTGAATTCCGACTCCTTCAGGAACCATTGGAGCTGAACATCTCCCCGTGATTTCATTCTTTGCGACTTAGCTTTCACCTTTTGGGCATTGACCCTCTCGAGCTCATTGTTCATTTCCCGGACGCGTCGGCCGTCTGGCCCTTGCTCACGGGAGACCTCTTCTGGTGAAATATCCTATAGATACAGTCAGAAGGATTTGTGCAGGAATAAATGGGCGAGATTAGAGAGACTATACACACCTCTGAGTTTGTGCAAATAATTCTCCGAGGCTGATCCTGTCTACATCTTCTCATGATGTCACCAACAGATTCGTCAGTTCCAGCTCGAGAGATGTTTGCCACAATAAAAACCTCATCGCATTGATGAGCAAGGTATCTCTCGGTTGCTCGCACTCTTGCAAAATTGAGATCTCGGAGTCCTATAACGCATTAGTCAAGGCCAAAGTGTGAACCTGGTATATAGTTTCAACACATACCAGGCAAATCAGTCAAAACTAGCCCAGTCCTTAGGATAGGTGAGCTGAGATATACCCTGCAAAAGCATCAGATCAAAGCTCGTTATAGAAGACAATGCTTAGCGAACCTAATCAACTTGATAAAAGGCCATAATGCAGGGCCACCCCCTCCGGGCTATCATCAGCAAGATGGTCGAGAACAGATTTACATTTTTCGACGTCATCGGCAATGACTGAGTAATTAAGCGCATCAGACCCAACTTGTCGGTTTATTAAGCCGGCATATGCCCAGTCTTCCAGCAGCGCAAGGATCCCAGAGTGTGCACCCTCAGACTCATCTGATAAGAACTCAATTGTAAGTCTTGGCTGAGTCTTGAAAAGCGAGTGAAGTGTTTCCCATGACTTAACCGCTGCATCGTGGCATTTTCGTTGCTCCTCGATTGTCTTAAGCTCCCTGTAGATGGAACTAACGTAGTATTTTCGGAAGTCTAGCAGGAGATGCTCAAGCAAGTTCCCCCTTTCCTCTCTGTTCATGAAATCTGCTTCGATGCTAAATGGACCAGGATGGTCTTGATTGGTGTGACGGAATTCCGTCACCACACAGGTGCAGGCCGATCCCTCTCTGCTCTGTGATTAGGTGTCAGTGAAAGTAATTTCAGGATAAACAGAGAATCGAAATGAAAGCATTTACATACGGATCGTGCTATCTTTTGGTCAAGTAGTGAATTGATCAGCGAACTCTTGCCTGTAAAAACATTAGAGACGGTACCCAAATATGAGAATGCCCGAAAATTTCCATACCAACTCCAGAGTCTCCAATAAAGCCCACAGTACGTGTGACCGGATACTGGAATCTGCTCATCTTTTCAGTCTGCTTATACAGAGTGTACAAGCTCGTCGATTGATCTTGTGTCAATTCCGAAAGACGCATTGTGCTGGCGAGACTGGCCAGGTGGCCCTTAACGGCTTTCAGTCCATCCTGAAGTCTATTATTGTAGATTGGGGCTGGGGGAAGAGTTTCGTCCCGGATATCATTGGATATCCTCTCGTTCTCGTCCTCGTTCCCGTCCTCATTCTCATGAGATGAAGTAGCTGCTGAAGTACTGCCACTAGCTGCTGGAAAAGTTCCGGGAACTTGTGCATCTTCGGTATGCACAGAAGCAGCTACAGATTGTAGGTTTGAGCTACCCAATCCCCTACCAACTTGGTTGGTACTTAATGACCGAGAGGTGTTTTCTCCGGTACTTCGTCTCGGACGGCAAGGGTGTATGCGTCTCGGCCTTGGGCTTGGGGAGGCATTGTGTTGATCAGCATACGTGGATGGCGACCGACCGGGACTCAATTGTGAATTTGGTGAACTTCGTCGAGGGGTGGTGATTGATGATGCTTGATCTGGCTGCAGATTTTGAAAGAGACTTATCGGTGGTTGAGCTATGGGCAAGGTTCCAAGTACGCTCGAGGCTTCCCGAATTGGCAAACTTCTCTCACTGCCACTGCCGTCTTGAGACGAGGTTGGTGTGAGTATTATTCCCGACTCAGAAGCAGTAGCGAAGGTGCCTCCCGATGAAGTGACACTCATTTTGGTTGAAATGGGTTGGGTCTCTTGTCAACTACGTTCTTGGGATCATGGGGACTATTAAGTGAAATCTTTGTGATAAGGCTAGCATTCCCTGGCGTCTATTTCCAGTAAATGTAACACCGGTGCCCCGCCCCCCCCTTCATGTACGATGCTGCGCTCTCGGTTGGCGCGGTTTTAGTCGCAGATCACAATATACGGCTACCTTAGGCCTAGGGATTCACTTGAACTTGGGCCCTTCTTAAGATAATCAAAACAGACCGCCGCACTCCCTCTTTATTTGAGTAATTTTGCGTAGTGAACAGATGCTATAATCGGTTTCATCAATTTGTAGGTCCCTTGGGCCACTTTTAGCCCCCACGAGTTGGGTGACGCGCGCGCATTTCATCCCTGTAACAAAAGGCCGCGAACTCTTAAGTGCATTGTTAGTGACCAATGGATCCCATGAAACTTGAAACATAAGAGACATTGTTTCCTTTTGGAGACAATATAGATGTATGATTGGCCATATTGTATTTTAAAATTTTAGCGATTTTAACCTGCCCCATTACCGAAAAACATGTGCTTTCACTCGACGTGTTTTTGACTTAGCCAGCGTAATACTAGTTCTGTCCTCCTTTTGATCATCCGAAGAAGTAACCCTACAGTTTTGAGCCGCACGATGGCCTGGAATACCCGGAAGTCTTCTCCAGGAACCGAACTCAATCAATATTGGAGCAAAGTTGGGATGATCGTTACGAAAGAAGCTAAGGGTTAAATGAACTTCGGAACAGCCGGAAGGTGGACCCTTGCTCTGCTAACGCTGGTATGGAAATGGTCAAATAAGAAGTGATCAGCCAAGTGCGAAATTCCGAAGTTATAGATTAATAAACTTCTCCCTGACGGGTTACAACACGCGACCATCTCTCGATGGCGCTGCGCGGCAGTCTAAAACCAATAAATTCTATAACTAACATCCCTTTTGACAGAATCACTTTTTTCGTATTATCCTACTGGTGGCTCAAATCAGAATTGCAGCCCCCGGCTAAATACTCTCCCTCAGTTAAACCCCGCTCATGGTCGGCGGTTGCGCTCAGACCTCACGGCGCTTCTGATCATCGCATGAACTCTATTAAGCTGGAGCTTCGGTTAAGAAAAGCCATGGTAGAGGTTATACGTCTGTATATGGATAAATGGCGCCAAGTCTTACTCCACCTAACCCACTTAAGGCCTACATAGGCGTCTCGGCCGGTGGAGGCTTGACCAAGATGCAACTGACTACCTACGGACACGCCATTTGCCCTCCAGGGGGTTTCTCCGGGAGACTACGGAGTGTATGTCAAGCGAGTCCTGGCTAATACAGGACCGGTGTACTTACTGGCAGCAGGTCGAATTTCGATGAACTAGCTAAGGCAACTGGACAGTTACCTGGACCTGGACACCGTTCATGTAGCTTAAATTAATGATGATTATACACCTATGATGTGACTTTATCTAGTAGATACCACTGGTTATTTCAGTATAGGCTGTCGAAGAAACCTGTAACACTCGTCACGGCATATCATGTTGAGAATCGCATTTAACTTTCATTAATTCATTAATTACCACAGAGTTAGGGTTGTCTTAACCCTAACCCTGATCCTAAACCAACCTGGCTCTGTATACCCTCTTCGTTGTCATACTAGCAATATATTTTACAACGAGATAGCCTCCATTAAATCTCGCGATCACTCTAGTACTATAGAGTCAAAACTGACACCCCCAAAGCTTGGACATTGATTGCTCTATCGATCTATGTATTTTTTACTTTTTCTACTACCAAACAAGAAAACAACACCGAAGAAATGTCCTCTTCTATAGCCTGAGGCTGCAGCAGAGCAGAGTACATCTTCCATCAATGACGGCGCGTTTTGGTGAGATAGGTCATCACCAGAACCATGGTGAAATTGAACGCAATAAAGCAGATGAAAACGCCGATATTGCGATGCCGATGAGCAAATTCATAACCATATTGTTGAAACTATCGAATGATTAGTTTCAAGACTAAATGCGTTACCTTGATTTCTTCTGTCCTGATCAGAGCTACTTACGTATGATTGTCCGTCGCGATACCGGCAATATTGACACTCCATCGTGCTTTCTGGATTGAGCAGATATCCCGTCGCGGTTTTCAGAAAATCCTGAGCATACTGCCCACAGCTTGTGCCATTTACCGCGTAGAAGATTGAAACCTCCGACCCCTTACACCGTATAGGCAAATCTTGCAACACATCCGCAGTGACGCCCTCACCCAGGTAGAAGAGGGGGAGATATTGTAAAACCAATGCCAACCCGAGGGGGTCACTGGCTTTGGCGAAAGAGTCCCCGCGAAGGTATTGCAGAACATGAAGAAGAATCCATTGGCGGCAAAAGCTGCCTCGATGCTGGGCATCAGAGATGCGCACAGCTGAGCCAGACTGGTGGCGAATACCCCAAAGAGCTCGTACATAAGAAAGCTATACCCTGCGCGCGAGGGGGTGGTGAAATAGCCAACGGGGAAGTACCACAGCAGCCAATAGACCAACGAACTGAGAAATGTAAAGGGTAATTCCACGATAAATGAGGATAAGACAAACGCCATCCAATGGTAGGTCAAACTCTCTCGCTCCCGGTGGACAAAAATATCCCGCAAGGTCACAAAGCGTGGCTGCACCTGCAGTCCTAGTGGGGGGCCTACGATGAGTGACATGAAGGCAGAAAAGACCCTATTGTACGCCCCTCGCTCGGTGTTTGGGGACTGTAGGTACGTTAGAGAGTTAAGGAGGGAATTTCCAACGCTCATCCAGAGCTTCGACGTGACATAATCCGGCTCTCTCCAATAATACAACCACGTTCGTTGAACAACCACCCACAGTTGCACATGGAACGGTACTGAGTACATCGACTGTTGCTCTAGCTGCGGTGCGTACCCAGCGGCGGGGATTAAGCTTTGTTCTGTTTTCTCTTGCTCCTTGGTCAGTTGGCTGTTACGCCAGAGACCAGCCCAATCCATATGGGCGTCATTGCGAGATCCAGCCCCAATAACCGCCAGGAAATACTCTGCCGGGTTCTCCTCTGGGCTGCAGGGGCGACTCCGTGGGCGAAAATACTGGATTGCCTCCTGACAGCGTGTTCCCAGAGGACCGTCATAGACCAAATTCCCTCCGCGGCTTAGCAGATACAACTCGTCAAACTGGTCGATGAGCTCGGCTGCCGGTTGATGGATCGTGCACAGGATGGCTTGGCCCGAGTCCGCAAGACGACGAAGTAAGCGAGCGATCAACATGGCGGATTGACCATCGAGACCCGAGGTTGGTTCATCTAGGAAGAGGATTTCTGGTTTCGACGCCATCTCCACGCCAATACTAACTTTCTTCCGCTGTTCGAGGTTGAGTCCCGCCCCTGGAACACCAACCAGGGCATCTGCGATATGTTCCATACCCAGCCATTGAATCACCTTCTCAACGTAAGCATTCTTGTCTGCCACAGTGATGGACTCTGGGCGTCGAAGTCGTGCCGTCATTTGCAATGCCTCGCGCACTGTTTGAGTGGGAAGATGAATATCCTGCTGTTGCACGTATCCCATTCTACTTCGGAAGAAGGTGGGAAGCACTCGGCCGTTCAGTGCTAGTGTTCCTGTGAGATTCCCGATAGTGGAACGACCGGCGAGTGCGTTCAGGAGGGTAGTCTTCCCGGCCCCCGAGACACCCATCAGAGCCTTGAGTTGTCCACTCTTGACCAAACCACTCAGATTGCTTAGCAGACGTTGATCGCCTTCCTTACCTTTAATGTCAAGACAGAGATTGGTCCATGTAAGATTGTGGCTCTTGTCAGGATACTGATGTTCTTGTAATTGATGCAAGTCATTGCTTTGGCCAGCCGATGTCTCCAAACTTTCATTTCCGCGGTCCGATCCTGTTTCGCTATCGATTTTATCACGTCGGTGTACTCGTGGGCCTTTCCTGTAGAACACGGTAGCTAATTGACCCGCGGGTGTTTTCAGCATTTCCATCCCGATCCTGTTTTAACTGCAGTGTCAGTCATAGAAGGTCCCCATGAACAAGACTTAAGAACATGGTGACTTACCCAGAGCAAAGGGCAAAGAAGACGAATAGGGCCGCGTTAATCCCTACATTCCGCCAGAGGTGGGAGGGTTTAAATCCGTACTGAGCATGAATGTACGACGCCCCGGACAGGAGACGATCTCCAGGTTGCGATCCCACTACCGCACAGACCTGATGGGCCATGTCGGTATATCCTAGCCCCGATGGGACCAAATCTGAGGCACTGCACTGATAGCTTAGGTCTCTAAATTCGTTCACCATCACCGATTCAAATGCATAATATAACGGCTGTCACATATTAGCATGATTTGTTCAAACCAAATGACATGGTCTCCACTTGCATTTAAATATCTCAACCAACCGAGCCATACTTGCATCTGTGGTGGGGGCACGTAGAGCCCCGTGTAGAGGACATACATATTGAAGAAAATCCCCACCGGGAGAACAGCTCGATGCATATTGGGAGAGAAGATCGCCACCGAGCGGAAGAACATCGACAGGGTAAGATGCTCTATGTAGATAATCAGGAACCAAGTGAAGAAATTGCCAGCCGTACGTTGGAAGCCCGTCAAGAAATATAAGGGAATATTATAGCAGATGGCTGCCACCTTCCACACAACATCCGTGGTAATCAAGCCGAGCGCATAGGCAATCGGTCGAGATATCTGGTATCGTTTCTGCTTTAGGATGAGCGGTCGCTGAGCAAATCCGTTACCAAATTCAGCCATAGACTGCAGAGCCGGGACTAGGACCGAGTAGAATAAGGCAGATGCAAAAATGAACAGGGAATTAGTCGTCCGCTTCTGGTTTCGGAACAACGTACCCAAAACCAGACTTTGGACGACTATAGTGGCGAGCTCCACCGCCCACAAGCTGTAATCACTAGTGACGATACGAAATTGGCGGGCTGCGCAGTACCAGATCTGATACCAGATGGGTAGAGCAAATGCCGATGTCTTCACGAGGGGATTGGGGTGGGCTCGGGATTGCTCCTTAGCCACTCGCACAGACTTTTGCATTTCCTGGTAGATGGGACTCGCACTAAACGCACGCTCAAACTCCTCCGCTGTTCGTGGGACCTGGTTCTCCCTATTTTCCTGGGCTCGTCGCACGTCTGGATCAGCGGACATCACATTGAGGAAGTCGGTAATGGTGGTGGTTGATAAGCACTCAAACCCGAGATCCTCAAAATATGCCTTTGCATCCTGGACTGGGCCGTAGTAGATCTGACGGCCAGAATTGATCACTAAGACTTTGTCAAAGTAGGAGACAATCGCATCACTTGCTTGATACACACTCATCGCAGCGACACATCGAGTTTGTGTCGTCCACTCGCGCATCATCTCCATGAATTCGACCGCCGTCGATGAATCAAGTCCATGGGTTGGATTATCCAGGCAGATTAGGCTGTGAAGATGTATTAGTCGATGAATCCCAAATTTTGGTACTTAAATGAGCAGGAGAGATCACTTGCCGGGCACATGTGGCCAGGGCCTCGGCCAAAGACACCCGCCGTCGCTCTCCGCCACTGACTCCTCTAATCTTCGCATCTCCCACCTTGGTGTTCAGGACATTTTCCAGACCAACTAGCTTAACCAGCTTCACCACCATCATGTCAACTTCCCGGACCGAGACTTGGGGACCAGAACGTGCTCTAGTCGCAAAGCGCAGGGTCTCTGCCACGGTCAAGGTAGGAAAGTGGTCATCAGACTCGGCTAAGAGAGACCTTTCTGTCAATTTTTGTCCAACAAGCACCAAACAGCAAAACGCGAGGACTGACCACAAAAGAGAATATCTTGGGGCCGCTGCTTCATCACATCTAGTAGCGGATGACCACCGAGAGTGAGTTCTCCCTGGATCTCTTTGTATTCATCCCACAGGCCCGACAGCGTCTTCAGGAAAGTTGTACACCCACTCCCCGGCCTACCTAATACCAATAACATTTCTCCGGGGTTGATAGTGCCTGAGAATCCGCTGAGGATGGGTCGAGAATATTGCTTCCTTTGTCTGTTTTGCAGAGGACTCAACAGCCCAAAGGCCGACTGGGCTGCCGACGTGACGGTGGGTGCATCTTGCGACTATCAACCGTTAATAGTAATACCTTCTATTGAAATCAGTGGTACTCACTCCGGTTCCGCTTCCGACTGCTGATATCTTGTCGAAGACCACCCCGGCGTCGTCAGGAATGGTGGCCTGGCGAATTTCAAGGAAGTTCCTAACACTGTCTGCAATCGATTCCCCTACCGCTGCAGTTTGGGACGACTTCGACGACGGCTCGTCGGTTTCAACCTCATAATTCTGCATGGGTGTCTTTGTCTCATCTGATGACGGATGGTAATTATTTATCATTATGAAGATAGGAAGCGCTGCAAGACTATCACAATCCCTTCATTAACTGTAGAAGAATCACACTGCGGACTAAAAAGTGGAAATGGACGGGTTCAAAAGGAACATAGAAACAACAATCCATCTCTGTTACCTCCTTTCGCTGTCCAATCTAGATATATGGTTGTTCCCCAAAGGAGTTTCGGAGTTTCGAGACAGTCCCAATCGGGTAAGTGTTCTGGGCTCACTTCTAACTTGTGGCCCGAGGGAGAATGTTAAGGTGGATGGCCTAATGTATCTCTCAAATTGTCTGAGAGCCGATAATTATTTCTAACTTATAAAGCACAATGCTGCAAACTCTGAAGGGGGCCAAAACATATTTCGCCGTTGTCACGTCGTTTTGCTTTATCTATTTTCTACTCGTTCCCGTCTACATTCACATTCCAATTCCAATTCTCCAATTGATTATCAAGTATGGTGCTTTTGACCGGTCTTAAAGGCGCCCATGTGCTCATCACAGGTACGAAAACAAGAAAATAGATCAAGCTGCGTGCAACTAACGCGGGAGCTAGGAGGCACCCGGGGTATGGGAGAGGCAATGGTGCATAAATTCCTCCAGGAGGAAGCAAATGTATCCTACTGTGCCCGGACCGTCACCAACACTGAGTATGATGACTTCTACCCAACGCTCGCTCAGGGAAATACCGCCCGCGCTGTGGGCACGGCATTCGATGTTGCTAGCAAAGACGCTCTCGTCAAGTGGGTCGAGAGCTCTGCTGAGCGCCTCGGGCGAATTGATGTGATTATAGCCAATGGTGATTGCTTTCCCTGACATATCCTGGTTCGAATGCATACTAACTAGCCCTAGCGTCGCCAATGCATATGGAAGGCGAGACGGAGCATTGGGAGAGCAGTTTCGCGATCGATGTCATAGGCTTCGTCGAGTTGGCCAGAGCAGCCACCCCGTACTTAGAAAAATCTCCCCTGGCATCCATCATCGTGCAGAGCTCCTTCATGGGGCGGGAATTCTACCGCTCCCCTCCGGCGGCCTACGGGCCTTGCAAGGCAGCGCAGCTGCAGCATGTCCAGGAGTTGTCCCACTTTTTGGGACCGAAGGGCATCCGGGTCAATGCCATCTCGCCAGGACCAATCCTTTGCAAGGGCGGTCCTTGGGAGCTTTATTCAAAGAGCAACCCGGAATGGGTGGAGGAGCAGCGACTGAAGATTCCTCTTAAACGGCTGGGGGACCCGACAGAGGTAGCGGCCGTTGTAGTGTTCTTGGCTAGTCCTCTGGCCAGCTTCGTAACGGGCACGAATGTGCTAGTCGATGGCGGAATTCATGTTGGCACCCAGTTTTAGAGTCTAGAACACAGAATGAGATCAATGAAGCATATTTGAAACTCAGCCTAGTTGCTATGTCAAAAGAAGATCATCGCTCTGTTGACCCACGATATCCTGCCAATCTAGTTGGTTACTTCCAAACCCCTGGGATCGATGCTCCCATATCTCCTCCAGAACACCCAACGCGCGTTGTATATTCTGAAAATTGCGTTTTTTCGCCATGAGGCTTAGTCGAATACGGATCGTATCCATGTGGGAGCTATGCGTTGCCTCAGCTCCGACCAAGAACAGAGGGAAAAGAAGGGCAGATTCGGGAACATCATTCAGAGGGATATTGGCCACGTATTGCAGAGTTGTAGAAACCTCCACTGCAATTTTTGAGTTCAGAGAAAGCGTAAGATTCTCGCGTAGCTCCCAGGGGGTATCATCATGCATGGGCTTCAAACTGCGAAAGGTCTGGCGGTAGAGATGAACCAACGCAGCGCAGCGATATGCGTATGCTAGTGATTCTAAATTTTGCAATGTGCCTGGTGGGCACCTCCAGTTCTTTATTTTCTGCTCGATTGCTGACCACAAATTTGTCAGGTCTGGATTTTCCTCGTCTGATGAGAGGTAACCGTGTGCGAGGCTCGAGGTGTAGTGACAACTGATCTCAGAGATAAAGATCAATATCTCAGAACCAACCCCTATATATGTATCAACAACATCTGTGATTTCTTCCAAATAACTCCCTGGGATTAAAGGAGGTCTTCTGAGAGTGACACTGCCCAGAATATCGTGGTACGCGAAATTTCGTAGGACCCACCGCCCTTCTGGGCTTTGCCTCAGAGCCTCAGGTCCACAAAGCACAAGCCCATCCGCACCGACTGGTGATCGAGAAGATTCAATAATTTGCTGCACGCCTATAAGATGGTTGTACCACTTGGTATGATCTCCAAGGCACACTTCGGATGTTAGAAGAACAAGGCTAGCCGCTGCGTTCGTCTCCCGACTGGCAATATCCTCTGAGATTAAAGCCTTTGCTAATGCGCGGAGGGAAGTGGCTCGCGCCTCTAGAGCCGTTATATGATAGGCACTGTCATAAGCGGAGAGGTGGCCCGATGACCAAGCGATCAAGGCATCTGCTAGGGCGGGGGATTCTACCGCCATTGGGAGGAAGTCTTGGTGGAGTTTAGCTTTGAAATTATTTCTTGGTCATATGAAATGGAATATACCAGAAAGAAAAGAGTTGAACTGTTGGCTTACTGTTAGCAGCTCAGCCAGGATGTCGATGTAAAATTTCATTGCATATCGTCGCTTAGAGGATTCAGCCATTCCGGATGCATGCAGAGAAAGCGAATTGAGTGAATGATCCGAGGGCCTAGCTAAAGATAGACTGGTTTGCTCATATTGAGCTTCATCTTGCTCAAGAGATATCCTCGAGCGAGGTAATATCCGGAGAACAGGTTCGCGGACACACTCGAGGTTAAGGCGTCTGCATGCTCCACAAACAGGAAAGGTATTTTGAATACATTTTTTGCGTCTATATTCACATTAATTGAGCTTCTGTCAACCATTGCATTTATTGGGTCGAGGATACCTATGTCGACAGGTCAAGCAGCCAGTCTTGTCGTGTTTGGAGCCGTTTCGCCGTTTCACATTCTGAGCACTATCAGGCATGATAGTATAAAGATGAACAATAGTTCAAGTATGTAGTGCTTCTGTGCAAAATGCTCTTATACTATCTTCCGTCTGCATTCGCATTACTAGTACCAGATAGGACTGGGATAACAAGAATTGTTGTCATTGGGTGTTGTCATAGGGGCCTCGGGGCCTCGGGGCATCAGCCCCGAGCGGAGCGCTGACAAATCATTCCTCCTGTCCACGGGTCCACGGGTCCCTGCGGGTGTCGCTGTGTATATTTCATATTGTAATTACCAGTAGATTACCACTAGAACCCGTTTCGGACAGGGTCCTGAAAGCCCTAATGGCAAGAAGAGTTACATGTAGGAATTACTTGCAGAGCATAACGCAAGCATATTTGTATTTAAAATAGATGGCTAAAGAGACTTGGTTCAAGAGCAACTAGTCTGTAGTAGTGATGAACAATTGCTCTACGTACGAGGTCGATGGACATGAACTAAACTTGGTTGCAATTCAACAACGGAAAGTAAGGCGAGAAATAGTATTGATTGCAGGATGCAAGCACACTGAGCCTGAAGGCTATATTAGTTGCCAGTCGGGCTATATTAAGAAAATCGGATAACAACTTTCCCCGTATGCGTCGCACTCCACAAATGCTCATATGCATCCCTCGTCCTTCCAAAATCAAACACACTGTCAATCACAGGCCGAATAGACTTGGCTTGGAAACACTCCAACATATCTTGCAACTGCTCCTTGGAGCCGACCACCACACCACGCACAATGCACAACCTATCCAACGCCAGGAAAGCAGCATCCGGGCCACGGAGCTCTTTGCCAGCGCCCAAGGGATCCGGGTTTGTAATATGCCCGATACAATGTATAAGGCCGTGCATTGCGATGGCATCAAAGGATGCCTGTAAGGTGAGAGTCCCGCCAACTTCAATAATATGGTCGACACCATGCCCGTTTGTGATTCTCTTGGCTTCAGCCGCCCAATCTGGATTCTGTCGGTAATTGATTGTGTGTGTTGCGCCTAGCTGTTTTGCCTTCAATAATTTGTCATCGGATGACGAGGTGACAATGGTTGTTGCACCGGCTGCATGGGCGATCTGCAATCCAAATGTCGATACTCCTCCCGTGCCCTGCAAGAGAACAGTTTGGCCTGGTCGAATAGGGACCAGCCCGTAGAGCGCGTTCCAAGCCGTGAGAGCTGCACAAGGCAAGCAGGATGCCTCTTCGAACGAGAGGTAGTCTGGGATGTGAACGACTCCAGTCTTCGGAAATATAAAGTATTCGCCCAATAGACCTTGGATTTCACCTCCGAGCTGGGACAAGAGTGTTTGCGCATTAAGTCGGCCGGCTATGTGGTCTTGAGTGAAGTTGGCAAGAACCCGGTCGCCGACTTTCCACTCAGTGACACCTTCACCAACATCTTCCACGATACCTATCAGCACGTTAGACCAGTCTATGAATGCAATGATAGGCAAAGGATCATACCGGCTCCATCACTACCAGGAACAAGAGTATCAGGCCCAGGGAAAGGGTAAGTTCCCATGGCAATAATACCATCTCTCCAGTTCAGGGAAACTGCTTTGATTCGAACTAGTATCTGGCCGTACTTGGGAGCCATTTTGGGGACATCACGAAGGACCAAGCTATCAAAACCGGTCTTGTCGGGGAGAAAATATTGCTTGAAAGTTGGCTGAGCCATTTCACTAAACACTCGAGAGAAACAATAGAGGATTTGGTGTACGCCTTCTAACATTGCAAGAGACCTGATATTTATACATCTGATTTGTCGAGAACTGCATTTTGATTACGCCCATTACGCCCATTACGCCCATTACGCCAATTACGCCAATTACGCCCCGCCCATTGCGCCAACTACGCCAATTACGCCGAACACCCCCACGCTCCACTGAGCTACATGTGTAGAAACATCTGGTTGGGTATTTAAGGGAGCCATCGAGTAATTCATATTCCTAGTAACCTGCAACATCTTGATTATTCTGCGAGTCAGACTTGTAAGATCCCCTTGACATGTACATATCGATCAAACTGAGAATTTAAGCTACCTTTTTACAGTGAAGCGTGAAACGTTCAAAGCGAGGTATCATAGAAGATTGAATTGTGTAAGCAATATATAAATATGTACTATAAATCAGTTACCCATCTAGTTTATGTTTCTATTTCTCTCCATCTAGCAGGGCCCGCTGCTAGTTAGATACTATGTATCGATTAGAGTAAGACAAGGCAGTACTCTAAGTCAGACAAAATGTAAAATCAGCACCAAAAATCAACAATGAATGAAAAAGTAAAAGGAGAATCATAAGTTGGTGGTCCAGGAATCCATGACCATCGCACTCGCATGCAGCCACTGGGCTTCAGTGCTGATAGCCAGGTCAGTAGATGTGGCAGAGGGTATCGATAGAGACTCTGTCGTCCCTAAAGAAGGAGATAATTCTGGTAATGATCCAACAGGCATCATTTCCATTAAGTGCATGCGTGCTTCAAAGTTAGGCATTGGCTGATGTTGCGATACCTCCAGGGTGGCTGGTGGCAGCGCCCGCTCGAGTGGGTTGGACTGGAACTCCAGTTGGCCAGGGGTGAGGAACGAGTTTTGGTTCGACGGCGGCCTAGAATTCTGGGCCCTGGTAGACGCGGGCTGGCTGGCACGCGGTGCTTGTCTCCGGGTGAGACCTTGTTGGACTGTTTTGATGAGTCGATCGGCCTGGCAACTGACTTCGCGCACGACCTCTGCCGCATTTTTGGCTGCCACAAAGTGATCACTCACGAGATCTAGCGTGCGAATCGCCGTCTGCAGCGACTTGCGGGCAGAAGGGGTTGGTGGGCAGACTGAGTTGGCGAGCACAAATCCTAGGGTACACAGGATGGCATCCCACTGGTACTGGAAGATGGGTGACCAGCCGCGCAGCAGATCTGTCTCAGAGAGCACTTGGTTTAGGATACTTGTAATCGCCATGGCGTGATTCAGACAGGATATATTGTAACCGTCGGTCAGTGGGGTCACAGAGGAGCTCACAGGGGGAAATCGGATAAAGGGCCGCAATGTCGATATGACAAGATGGTGGTAGTGGAGCTCCAGCAGGAGGCGTTGGCGCTGCAGCCAGAGCGGGCTATACGGAGACAGATTCAGCGCATCCCGGTTGGTGGAGAATGGTTCCCCGCCCCCCTTGCGAGGATTACATAGTGACTGCGGCACATTTTGAACCCAGCTATGAATGGCTGTCATCTCCTGTCCGAGAAACTCGGCCAAAGTCTCGAGGAGGCGCGGGTCATCATATAGATCCTTGGCTTTATCCCCGTTCAGCAACTGCGAGCATTTCCGGTGCATTGCTGTCTGCACACCCTGGACGAGAAATATGAGCTTCGTGCACTGGACGTGGAAGCTAAGCCAGCTTATGTCCTCATGATTTGTGAGAAGAACTGTGCCAGATAGATGGGCGTGCTCGCGATCATCTCCGGGTAGCCCGCAGCTTACATTAGACATCTGAATGAGTGGCGGCCTACCCAGGGTCATTGAGAGCTGGCTGTCAATCCGATAGAGCGTCCACCAAATTCGGCGCTGTAACTCCTGCTGTGCGGGGGAGATCCCGTCCAGCGGGCGGATATGCAGCCGCAGCGCGTGGGCGATTCGCAACGTGGCACCCAGGTTAATATGCGCCGTATTCAACAGGGAAGTGTTGTACAAGTACACAATCGAAAAGATGTGACTCTGCACGAGCATGATGGTTGGATTTTCGAGCTCACTCTGCAGCAGCCTCTGGGCCCTCTGGTAGTAAGTTCGACTGGCTAGATTCGCGTGCTTGGCCTGCCATCCAGCATCGGAATCTCCCTGCTGGTTGTCATCACTAACGAAGAAAGTGCTGCTGTACTGCATACAGACCGCCAACAACACATCGACTAAGGCTGATGGCTTCCGGGAAGACAATCCATCTGTGGAACTTGACCATAATGAGTCATAATATTTCTGAAACTCGCGTTCATCGAGAATAGGGTATACACAATGAAAGGACTGCCAGAGCAGATTCAGAAAGTGTTCCTCTTGTGACCGATTCAGATCCTCGGCCTCTTCGGTTCCGTCTGGAAGCTGATCCGCCTGGCTGGCCGGACTTGCATCCCATCGAGACGGTTGATGGGTTGGGGCAACATAATGAAAGCGTGCAATGCATGCTTCCAGCTTCGAATCTTCTATTGGCTGGTCAAGTGCTTGGGAGAGATAGCGACTGATTCGGGAGACAAAATACGAGGACGACAAGGGCCCATAGTGAATCTGCCCTGTCTGCTGGAGGCCTTGCCATCCTTCTGTGGTATTGACGAGCTCTGCAAAATCGAACGAGGTGTGGGCAGCATCTGACACTGGTGGTGTCGCAAACCCCGTCTGTGCTTGGATTTGCGCTCCATCTTTGAGTTTCGCGATCTGATCCTGAAGGTCCTTGACTTTATTCCGTAACCGGTGCATCTCTCTATCGATACGGATCAGCGGGCCATTTACATTCATCCCGATGTGATCCTGAGGGAGATGTAGGTTGGTTTCCTACCGGTTTGCAGCCGGGAGCGAGGTGGCCTCCTGTGGCTTTGTGTTACTGCAAGAGGCTCCTCGATTCAAGCAGTTCTGACATGGCTGCTTGTCATCGCATCTGATGCGATTGAGCCGGCACCAGTTGCAGGCCCGAGCGACCTGGTTGCGCTTTGGTCGTGGAGCTGTAATAGGCGCGGCTGGTGTGTCATGGGAGGCGTCGATCGTGGTATTGAAGTTGGCGGAGAAAGTGGAGTACATGACGGAGGCGTGGGGTGGGAGAACAAAACAAATCCGATATTCATTCAGACCAGTTTCATTCAACTCCAAATGGCGGTCGGAACCTTAAAAGGAATTTCCCTCTGGACTACTTGAGAGCTTGACAAGGAGGGGGTGGAGGGAAGCGATAGATCGCGCAAAGGGAAGAGTTGTGCAGGGGTTGTGTTGGCGGCGGATGCCTGAGGTTGCATATCTTGGCCTGGACAAAAGTACCTGCAAAAGCAGTGATGACGGGCTACCCCTGCAAAGCATGAGACTTGCATAAAATACCAAAAAGGGAATAAGAAACGAGGAGCAGAGCGGGATGCTACCCATTTACATAGGTATACACCCCCATAATCCCGTTAGTGTGTTATCTTGTCAGCTCCAGGGCTATTCTCATGAATCCTTGGCTGAATTCGTCATATCACCTTGTCGGAATAATAAGTGTCTGATTCTGTCATTGGTCCAAAGTCAGTCAGATAAGATACGTAATGGACCTAAGATCCTTCTATGCACCAAGGTTGTAGTCAACAGGGAATCCAATCCTGCTACTTCGTATAGATGAGGGACGCTTTTATGAACCTATGATCTTGCCCAGCTTTTCAGGTATTAATCAAAAAGCTTGGCTTTATTTTCATAGAATTTCCAATGGTTGTATACATGGGTTCGACGTCTATCTTGCCATTGAGGTAGAGAATGCGCTAGTACTATATAATGAAAATATATATAATCCCGGTCAATACAGAACGTATATCATTTATGGTGAAGAAATAGACTTAATAAGCGGAAGAAACGTCCATAAATGATCCTGAATGAAAAGAATAAATTATACAATAAATTAAATGAAATGAAACCCTAGTGTGAGTCCTATTATGCTATGTACCTACCGTCTAGCGCTAAGGAATTCTCCGCGTTCACAGCATACTCACTCCCACATCCGATCCAGATACGGTGAACTCCAACTACATCCCAAAGGCGTGCTAGGGTAATCAACTTATCTCGAAAATTAGCTCCAATCTGTGAAGGAACCGGGGTGGCGTCCGTTATTCCGCTGCTCTTCTAGGCGGCATGCATTGGCTGAAGAAAACGGAGTTGCCATTATACCATTCCGTATAATACTATCTGCATTGGCGTACAGGGATGAAGATCCTTTTTTGCTAGATTTGGTGAAGGGTCCGAATTGCTTGTTCCAGGTACGATATAGTAACCATATAGGAAGACGAATATGCACCCGTGCACAACTGGACTATAATTTCATGTGGGACCGGAACAAACACTGAGTTTATGGAACACAAGGTTGGCTAGCCGCTTGCGGCTTTTTAGTGGCTTTCTAGGGGCTACGGACTGAAGCCATCCACCGCTGCAGGTAAAGTAGCCAATTTATTGAAGCGTGGGACGTAAGATGGATGTCAAGAAACGGAATACCACACCAATCAGGGACTTTGAACAAATTGAATAGATCCACGTGAAAAGCATACGACATTAATTATACGGATATGGATGATCTGATCTGCGTACAAATAGGGACTTGACGCCGAGCTGACATATACACAACATAGTAGCTTCACTATTCTCACGGGACCTTTTCAAAGAACGCACGATGGAGAGGGGGAGAGGGGTTGATGACCGCATTCCAGTGCATATCATTTAATCTAACTAATCAATTCCAGTGAAACCCTCTTGCGCCTCGGCAAATTCCCACATAATCATGTCCCACTTCTCTGGAGGGCGAAGACGAATGACACAGTCATAAGCCTCGGGGCAATGAAGAAATCCTTCACTAGCGCCGGAGTGAGCTGGAATATGATTGTCGTTGCCGGCGGGGTTCGAGGAACTCAAAGGTCCAGAACAGCTTGGCAACACAAATGATCGAGTTGTGTTCCGCCAAGTGGATGCCCGAACAGATGCACCGGCCCGCCCCGTAAACCAGATGGTCTCGGCGTTCGGACCCTGTGCAACCCGACGCCAAGGCTGGCGAAGCATTCAGGCTGAACAGTGAATCTGCTCTGGTTCCTCCTATCACTCATTATCATGATGCATGGCCTAGACATTAAGAACGATGCTTGATCCTTGTGGAGTGAGTTTACCATCGATGCGGTCATCTAAGGGTTGTTAGCTAGGTAATATCTTTAGGTTTCAGATTTCACAGCACATCATCTGTGATGACAGGCTTGGCAGGAGAGAAAATATCCGATTTAACCGCCTTTCAGCGACGGCATGAGGGAACACCCTAAAGGGCTTCATTGACGCCACCGGTGGGACTCTTTGATGATCATGTTGATATAGGCCACTTTGGGCCACTCACACCAAGCCGGGGAACGGTCATGGCTAATAATTGAGTAGATTTATGTCTGTGCCCTGCAATACCACCCTATTAGGTTTCTCACTTAACCAGATTAGGATGAAATACCCGATCAGCACACTTAGCCTGCACTTCTGGATACTCACTCATGGCCTGGATGATGGTCAATATGAGCGAGGACAAAGTATCGGAGCCTCCTTTTATCAGAACAAATCCTCGGAATTGGGGTCTGTTCTGGTGTATGCAGAACCCGATCCGTGGAAGAGTCGCGCTGAATACCGAGTTGATGGCGCTCCTTGACCTGGTTCAGTACAGTCTAGTAAAGTGACTGCATTAGATCACCTACCGCACCCACTGCGCCTGCCTGGTTCTGCCAGTTGCTTAGCAGCCATTGGGGTATATAGCGCAGCAGAGCAAACAAGTGGACAGGCCGGGTGGCGGCATTTCATGTACTCCTCGCAGACGATTTTAGCGCAAATACCAAAGATAAGCAATTTAGTGATGATGTTACTGTACCGTTTGGGATGCAGCATGTGATCATCTGTTTGTCCTCCGCTTCTTGGGCCTTGCAATGCTCAAGCTCGCAGCGAAGTTCCATGAAGCATTGAAGTATTGTTTACGTAATAAGCGCCATCACTGCATATACACTTCATGGCCAGGAGATGTTCGCTCTGGGTGATCAGGTGGGATACCAATGATGTGGGTCGGTGGGAATATGTGTTGCTCTTCTTCTCCAGTAGTGACTTAGTCTGTTTGAGAAGAAAAATACGGAAAACTACCAAGGGTCCTCATGCGCCCCACAAGGAGAACAGAGGAAAGAAACCAACCCTGTCCCCATAAGGCCTGCCCGTCTTAGCGCACACATTCCCATTTCTCTCGCACAATCAATAAACTCTATGGAACAATCTTAACTAGCATATCCGTCCTCAGAGTCAGAGTCCTCAATCAAACCATCTCCTAACAGCATAGACTTCATATTCCGAAGATCAAACTGAACACGTCTGTTCACAGCCTTGATATCCGCATACGCGGTCAGCGCCGCCGCAAAGTCACTCATGCGGTACACAGCAGTCTCTTGGAGAGGTGAATGATACCACGCGTAGTCATACGAAGGTCCTTGGCGGGGTTATACAACGTACGAAGCCGGGAGGGGACGGTCAGCGTTCTTTTTCTTTGCGGAAGCAGGTGTGCTTGTGGGATTCCGTTTCTTCGTGGTGGGATGTGTTGTGTCTCTGACCGATGTTGAGTATGCAGTATCACCAGGCTGACTATTCTGTTCAAGCGCAAGTAGAGCCTGTGTTTCTATTTCCTGTAATGAGGAGGGAGAGGAGACTGTTAATATAGCTACGCAGAAGCAAACTCTCCCTGAATTGCCGTTTGCTCCCTTTGGTAACCTGCACTGCAGCTTTTCTGCTATTCTGCCACTAATATATACAATTTCCATAATCGGTAGTAGCATCTTAGAAGGCTTTCTTGTGAGTTGGGCTAGAAATGCCCCGCGAAGGCCCATACATACTCAGCGAGACTAATTTGGCCGCCATCGGTAGAGTCCAGTTCCGGCTTGCAATCACCGAGAACCCATTCCTTCTTTAATTGATTCAACCACGCCTTAAACTCCATTTTCTCGCCGTCAACCAGCATGCCTCCGCCAGAAATTTCTTCTATTTGCGAGGGAATGCAGATGAAGTACTCAACATGCTAGTAAATATTTATCTTCTTGGGCATCACACCCTCCTCTATCTTTACGCAGTCCGCACACAATTGTTCCAAACAGATTGGGCAGATAGAACGTTCATTCTGAATGGCTACCCTTCGCTGGCATGGGCCAGAACACATATAAAGGGGGTCGGTGCCGCCTTCCGACCTGTGGGCAATTGAAACAATATTTCTGAAGTCTCCTGCTCTCTACAGAATAAAGTATAGTTCAGAAATAGTATAGTCTCTAGGATTACCATCGGACAGGATTTTAACGCTTCGTTGCATGGAGGGCCGGAAGAGAGCGCGTGCCCATCCGTCTTGCCTCGGAGGCGGCAGTAGATGCCCAAGTAGACGTCTGTCACGAATGCGCAGCTTAGTGAGAGATACTTCTGGCTTTCGTGGGCAAGCTGCTCAAGTCTGATCACATATTCTTCTGCCTCTGGGGTGTCGACTCCAACTTCGACTGCGTTACACAAAAACACGTGGGCCAATTTTGAGCAGGCGAGCTGTCTGATAATCCCTATCAACATCTTGGGGGAAGAGGAAGAGTATCTATCCATAATATTCTCTCAACACCTGATTGCCTTCGGGTGGTCAAAAAGGGTTCATCATATATTCGAGCGATAGCCATATCGAGCACTGCGGCAATCAACGTCCTCGATTCTCTTCAAGCTACCTTGGTCGTCATCTGCAGGCTCTCCAATGCGAATTTCAGGTCATAGGTGGCCAATGCGGCATCCGCAGCAAGCTTTGCCTTACCTTCCACACCAAATACGCTGCCTAGGAAGAATTGAATTAATTCCGAGAAATCCTCTTCCGGGACCGGAATTTTGCTAGCTTTCTCAACAATTTCATGGTAACTTCATAGGCACGATTGTCGTTAGGGTATGCAGAGGGGCTTCGATACAATTCCAGCAAGAGGGTGCATATTGATATGCCTCTTGGATGACCTCGAATTGTTTCTCCCGGTCCTCTTGTTCTCCAGAAACACGACCCATATGCTCCAGGTATATATGCAGATGCTCTTTTAGTGGCCCGTCATCTGATGACTCGGAAATTGCGTTCAGCAAACTTAGCCGAACTCGTCCCAAGAGCTCAGTGGATTTCTGCCAATCATTTTCTGAATCATATGTTTTTGCTAGCTCACACAGGGTCCGCCAATTGTCTGCATTGAGTTCCATTGCCTTGTTGAAATACATTAGGGACTCTGATTGGTACCCTGACTCACGCAGAGCGATCGCACATTGGTGAAACCACTGACTGGTCTTCACGGGGCCACCAAACTCAGCGGCCCTCAACCTCATCGTCCGCCGTTAGATCCCTATATTCATCATGGACCTCCTCGCCCTTAACCAACATTTGGTAGTGCCAGACTATAGAGACCATGCGAGTAGGACTAGCTAGGTCTTCCTGCATCCAGGCCTTGGCACAGAACATTGCCATTGGTTTGAATAAATCCATTGGATTCTCCTCCGTTGTTGAGATAAATTCCTTCTCTTCTGGAGAGATAAACTCGTGGACGTCTTGATCTTGCCACCATTGCCGAACAGCTTTGATGATAGTGGTAGAACGAGCAGATTCATTCCCCCAAATTCACCTTTGCATTGATTCTTTCGATCGAAAGGCTAACAGTAGCATTTTCGCAATTTCTCGCCTACTCTCTGGCGAGATTTTGGAGGAGAAACTTGTGAGCAGGAGACTACACCAATTCCATGCAGCGTGGCCGAGCATGTTCCCTGAATCATTGACCTTTCTTGCAAAGTCGGTATCGGTGATTAGCCTTAAGTAAGTCTTGAGCATATGAGCTTTGGCTTCGTAGTAGTTTACAATGACGCCAAAGCGGTTCCCTCTAGCAGACACCTTGCCCTCCGACTCATCGCGGAAGAAGTCACCAATGGATGCATGGCAGAAGGTAACGGTAGTTGTACGTTTTTTTGAGTTAAACTCCATGAAATAATCCTCCTCGGAGCTCTGATATTCATCCTCCCTTTCCTGGTTCTCGTCCCAGCCAAACACATCCAGATGTGCTGGGCCATTATCTAGCTCGGCGGTGGTAAGCCCATCCTCTCGGTGCAGGGTAAAGAATAACTCCCACTGGCACCGTAGGGCTCCTTCGAGGTCAATCATGCCATCCCCTTCGGGTGATCCCAATCTGGGGATCGTCTCTAAATCGGCAAGTTTCCATGGTTGGTCCGCGCAGGTAACCCAAAGCAATGTTTCATTGAGATACTCGAGCTCCTCCTCGTGAGATCTTTCAGAGAATGTGGCCAAAACATGTCAGAGCATCTCCTTAACTCCCCGAGGAGCCTGCTCCAGTGCCTTCCGCATACTACTCTCATTTCGTTTCTTGGTTAGCTCTTGTAGCATGGGATTCACCCAAAGGAACATGCCTTCTGCCCCAGCCGACAGATTATTAATGATTTCCTTTCGTAGCTTTGTCGAGACCCTTCGCAAGACTAAGGTCTTTCTGATGCTAGCGTGGATATACTGGGTAATATCGGCAGAGTTCTTCTGTTTGGTGACGTGAAGGGTTGGCGCCTTAGCCTCTAAGCCTTCGAGCAATTGATCACTGATATAAGGTCGGTCAACGATGGCTAGTTGCAAGCATGACTGGTTGCCATACAACTGCTTTGCAAGATTGATGAAGATCCCCCGGTCCTCATCTAGAGTTTCGTCAACTGCATCTAGTAGAAGATAGACGGTACTCTCGGTATTGGGTTTCTTCAGAAAGTTTTCAAAGGAGAGACGCCACGCACTTTCAAGGGTGCTAATCTTCTCATATTCCTCGATAGACCGGAGATAATCTCGGTAACCTGGTTCATTCTTGCTTATTTGAAAGGCTAGATCTCGTAAAGCCTGATGACAGGACCTTGTCTGGGGTTTGTCATCTTTGAAGAAGAAGTAGCCAATGGAGACCAGCGGGCTGCGCTGAAGGCCCGGGGGAAACTGCTCGAGAAGGAAATTGACCATGTTTGCCGCCAAAAATGACTTGCCCAAACCTGGATTTCCGGACACGAAAATGACGGGTGTTTCCTTATTGATCCAGGATTGGAAAACATCATCCGTGTGAACCCAGTCTCCTGTCCCATATACACGGGCCTTTTGGACCTTGTTGAACCATTCCTGTGCTGGATCAACTTTGGATGGTCTAAGAACGTGCTTTATGAGTGTTTGCAGGACTTCTTTATCCTCGCCGGTATCCTGTCTTTCCTCAGTCGAGGAGGTTATCAGCTTCTCTACCATCCCCTCTACTTCCAATACCTGTGCACTCATCTGGTTGACCGTCTTCCCGGTTTCCAGAAAATTCATATTGGTGGCGTTGACGGTCACAGATATACCGTCCACTACACGGCCGGCTCTCTTCAACTTGGTCAGGGTGTCAGCTCCAACTAGCTTGGCCTCGACCTGGGTGAGCTTGTCAAGTCTGACCATCGCGGCTTGAATGGCATCATCGTTACCCAATAGAATATTCCGGGCGTACTTAAGCAGTCTGCCCCGTCGAATGGTCTTGGATGACAAGGCAAAATTTTCGATCAGAGTAACGATGATATCGCTCAGCTTGTCGCTTAGAGCCTCAGAAATAGTTTCTTGTGTATGCACTTAGTTAGACGGTGAAATCCTACATTTGTTCAGAGCTCTGTCTTTTCCCATGTTATTATCTTCATGTGACTACATCGTAACCGCAGCATCTACATCAAGTCTTGAATCGCATCACACGAGGCCGATATTCCCTTCGCAGCACCAACCAAATACATCACGGCCCCGAATACCACACTGCTAGGGGGAATACCATCGACGCCGCTTCCCCAGCCGCAAGGTTGCTGAACAATTGCACGGGAATCAGGGCCGCTTCGAGAGCATCGAAGATAGCGCTTCGCTTTTCGCGGAACTCGCGGAAAGTGATTATCTTCTCGTCAATCTCTTTCGTGAGATCTAGTTAGACCTAGTCTCTGTATAAATTTTGGCTATAGCACCGGTTCTGCGGGACTTGTCAAGGCCCACTCTTGCGCGTACTGATTAAGGCGTACTTTCGTAAGGACTCGATTTTATATCTCTAGTGTTTGCGTTTTCGGCCGACTAGGGCAAGGAGCATCAATAAGCATAGTATCGGAAAGATTCTCACGACCGACTCCGGATCGAAGCCCTTTTTAAGAGCTCTCTCATAGATATGATTAATCATACGCTTCGAGAGGTCTAATTATTAAACGAGAGTAGCAGTACTAGCACCGGTAGCTTTGCCAAGCACTACAGCTACTCGATTGGCAATATTGTGGCCCATAGTGACAGTGGTAGTGGCAATAGTAGGGTAGGTAGACAGGTATGTAGGTAGTATATTGTAGGGAGGTTGAAGAGCAGAGAATCCAGTAGGGGGAGGGGTAGTGACAAAAGTACTATACAGAAGCATTACATACTAGTGTTTAATTCGAAGAAGCAAATAAATTGAGGGGGCAGAAATTTGGCATCAACCTCCGTAGTCAGATACAAAATAACACCAGAACAACTTTCCACTCCAATCATCAGTTACACAGTCACACTGCAGCCCCCACTATTCAACTACCTCACATCTACTTTTCAGCTGAAGCCACCACATCAAATCTCTAATGACCTTAGCTATTCGCATTCTGCTTTTGCTTGTCGAGTAAATCTTTCATTCGCTACTTCTTCATATGGGAAAACTACCTGATTTGTCGTACTTCATAGCATGGGTATCATAGCATGGTTCGACATAACACGTAATATCAATTCATCTCCTTTTCGGGGCGGCACGGGCCGCAGCGGTGAACAAAGTCGAATGTTGGGGACAAAGTAGCTCCTTCTGGTTTATGCATATTTAGCAAATCGTGTTGCAGATAAAAGTTCTCCACCTTAGCAGCTACCTATGCATACCGAATCCTCTAGTATTACCCCAGACCCCAGATTTACTCGTCAGCTAGAGCCACCATCAGACCCTGCATTAGGCCCACCGGGTATTATTTTTGTACAATGTCCTTCAGTTAGTTACCTGTAGTGAACCTTACTTGAGATCTACCCATCATTCTGCGTAGCTGCCTGAAACAGAGTCCTTTTATCGCCCTTAGAGAATAGGCTAATAGGTTTGTCATATTTCCTAGCAGCAAGATACAGTATGGATCAACCTGTAATGCACAATAATTAGTTGTGTTTCATTTATATCACATTCCTTTTATCGCCAGTTTGTCTATGTTGGTCGATATCGAGTGTTTCTCCATTTGACACAAAGCATGGATTGACGAAAAGAGTCGATTCTCAAGCATGGATAGTAGACTTGAGAAGCTTCTCGCCACACAGTACTGGATGAACAGAATATCTAGAGGAGAGTATAGGTTACATGATAACATGACGATAGGAATTCGGTACAAAGGTTGTATGACTGATCGACTAGCATTACACATACATTTGATCTACATTCCGACGCAACTCCTGATATTATCAAGCACCTCAGAGGTAAGTATTACTAACACCGCAATTTGATCACTCACTTTAGTGTCCCTATCGCATTCAAACTCAATTTGTCTGGTGTCTCAGCTCTTTCTTGGCTTAATGGTAATCTTCCTAGCCACAAGGCCGGCCAAATTAGTACTGCATGAAGTACTTATACAAGACTTGCTGCCGCAGCTTTTTAATGACCTCAATTAACTCTTCTCCTGAAAAATCTCAAATAACATTTAACATTACAACCCAATCAACCATGTCGTCTATGACCACTGATACCGCTGTTACATCAGTTCCAAACACAGCAAAAGACGAGCTTTCTATTTTACGTGTGCATACCTATGATCGAACTGCAGGCATAGCAACCCAGGAACGCGTTCTCCAGGTGCTGTCTGCGGAGCTTCAAAATGCCAAAAATGGAACATTGAAGGAGCTGAGGGGTGTTTTGATAGCAAAGAATGTCTTCAATTCTCGAACGTAAGATTTACAGAGTCGGTCGAGAACCAGCGCGGCGGCTTAAATCCTTTTAGCATCTCAAGCCCGTTCTGCGATATGAATGGGTCTGAAATGGACGATGATATTTTGACAAAGACTTACATCAAACTCGTTGACAGCGAGGTATGAAAATATATGATCCAACCTCTACAGGGAAGACTTTTTCTGACGTCACCAAAAGACGCATACCAAGATGACTAGCCTCGAAGACTCCCAAGTAGCCCCAGATGAATTGAGTGTGTACTATAAGAAGCAACCCACCGCAATGGATGATGCAACAAAGGGATTCCTCGACAAGCCACTAGACCTGGATCTTAAGGTGGGTTATCGGGCTACTTAACCCCCTCATAGTCAATAAATTATCTGCTAAATTGGTTCAAAGGAGGGTCAACAGTTGTCCAAGACGGACATTGCGCAGATCAAGTCTGCGTTTGAGGCAAAAACTTGGACAGCGGCTGAGAAGAAAACTTCGTTAAGGTTAGTGCTCTTGTTATACTTAAGTTTTGGTACAGATAACAAACTTATGAACCTATCTACTTAGTCACGCTGCCACCCTCAGTGAAAAGGAGTGGGATATCATTACCCGTACAAACTGTCTCCTCAGTGGCCACAAAATAGTTCAATTTGAGAAAACGATAGGAGGCTCCACGCCAGTCACTCCTAACAAGCCGGACAAGCCATCGAGTAGAAGTAAGGTTCGCGGCAAAACGGTCAAAGACTTGAAGGTTGAACGCACCCCCTACAACGGTACGCAAAAATTACATTCTGTGATAAGTCAAGACGAGTGGCTACTGATTAATAGCATCTAGCTTTCGCGCTGAAGAAAAGAGATCTTAAGTTATCAAGTTATGGCGCACAACCTTTTATCTCAATCCCTTCGGCAAAGGAAGGGGGAGCTAAGGTGAGATAAAGGGCTCTCTCAACTACCGCAGACTTTCGCTGACGATGTGTATGGCATCTAGCTTCAGTATCCGATCCCCCGATTCCGAGTTGATGACGACTCATATGTGAGTGTTTATGAGACGCAAAACAATCTAGAAAAATCACTTGCCAGCGGATCGTTTTCTGAGCACTCACTGGAAGCATCTGCGTAAATATAATGGAATGGTACCCTCATTATTGACGGTGGCTGACTTAGCTTTCATTATAGCGGTGCTAGTTTCTGGGGGGTATCTGCTGCAGCCAAGGTTGGAGGCGCTTGGAACAGCCAAGATAATGACCTCCATGCAGCATCTAGTGAGAGCAGAAACATGAATGTCAACTACAAGGCACGTTTATACCAGATATAGTCTTCAAACAACAATTGTTAACCATCAACAGTTTCCACGTGTTACTGTGTACCTTGACAAAGATTCTCTTGTGATCACTGACGAATGCAAGAGAGATATGGAGAGTGTCAAGACCAAGCAGGGGCTGATAGCTTTCAGCAACAAATATGGTTCGTAATTTATACCTATCCACTACGCAACCAGCCTGCTTATTGACGCTTAAAGGTGATATCTTCGCCCAACGGGTTCAACTTGGTGGTGTCCTCTCCGCGAGTGAAAGCAGCAATGCCACAACTACCCAGGACAAGGAAAAGCACGCCAATTCAATGAAGATCTCTGCAGCTGTCTCCTTCTCAGCATCGTTTGCTCAGGCTTCTGTTGGCACAAGCCACGGCGGAGGTTCCAACTCTGAGACTAGCACAACATCCCAGGACCGCACGAGTGCGATGGCCTGGGAAGCGACCGGGGGCGATACATTGTACTGTAACAAGTAAGTTATTCAGGAGCTTGGTGGTCAATATCGAAGAGAGCATATGTTAATGACGATATTACAGCCCTGCACAGTGGTGTGGAACTGTGGGTGACTTCTACAACTGGAGGGTGATTGATGCAAGTCAACCGATGTTTAGTATGAGTATATGACTTACTAACCGCGAAAATAGCAATGCGACGTGCTCCCACTGTCCAAGGTTATTGACTCCATCAATGGTGACGACAAAATCACCAAACAATTTGAGGCAGCCGCGAAGAATTAATTGCAGATTTACGCTGCTGAGGACCTGCAAAACAGCTCAGGTGCTTACAACCCTCAGTCGTCGCCAAGAGTAGGTCGAATCTTGATTCAAAGCCGGCTTTTTCGTGAATCCCTGTTAGACGAATTAGAACAGACAAATAAATATCAAGGTCTAAATCAACTAGGTCCCAAGTAGTTCCGTTAAACACCTCATCGGGAAAATGTTCTTCGTTCAAATCTACCATCCGGAGTTCATCAATTTCTACAGAACGGAGTATTTAGATGATTGTCTAGCCGTCAAGCCAAGTATACCATGCGTTGAATACTACTACCCTATATACAAATATCCAGCCGCCTGTTGTTGGTCGTAGCAACCAAAAAGGAATCGTGTTTTTGATCGAATTGGGAAGGTCTGGCAAGCCAGAACGGGGAATTACAGGCTCTGAGACCGTTTTTATAAAACACATACAAACCTTTTGCATGTAGGGCTGCCAGCTTGCCGGGAGCGAGAATTTCGCATTAAAAACTTGGACTTGCAGAGTCATATGAACTTGCGATATATTCAGACGGCGTCAGGACGAGGGCTCTACTGAACTACCCGACGCGGCTCTTAGTGAGGTAGCTATAACAGAGTAGGAATCAATCAGTAATTCAATAGTTCGATTAATCAAAGATGACCAAAGCAGAGTACAGACATCATAGACTAGCACTTATCATCTACATAGGTGCTTGGCAATAACTATTGCATTAAAGTTTTAAATCCAACTGAGATAAAAGTTGAGTTCAGAGCTTGATTGACTTGTAGGACTTCTAACATGGAAAAGGGATGATCAAGTGAAAATAATGGCAGGTAACTTGCAGGATATGCTTCATTGGTACACCTTTACAAGGGCTCATCAGCAGCCCTTGTAAATTAAAGCATATGTTGTTGAGCGAAGTTGCAGGATTGTCCGCCCAGTTTCAAGAGGCTATTAAACCCAATACAGCGAAGACCACTTGTCATGCAATAAGAATGGGCTACCTATCAAAGTATCATTGTCCTCTTCCATTTTAATCCGTGCGTACCGATCTCCAGAGAAAAAATAATAGGTACCATCATAGTTGTCAAGAATCGCGTCAACTGTTTCGAATTTGGCCTTGACAAGAGATGGCCACGATTCGGCAATTGTGCCATGGGAGACAAGCCGGTCATCCCAGCTCACGTCAATCCATTCCTTCCCCGAAAGAAATACATATTTTTCTCAGACTTCGGAACAACCATTGCCGCGTCGATTCTATCCCAACCTGCCCTTCCCAGGGTTTGCCAGCCGTTCGTAATTGGTGTGAGTCCGGTCTCCACTGTCGTCACAAGAGACTCGGTATCAAGTTCCAATTTCATGTAGTTGGAGCCAGAGAAGACATATAGGCGTTTTTCGTTTCCTGGTACTGGACAAACGGCATCAACGCTACCAATATCCTCATTGGCGAGGGCGGTCCATTTGTCTCGAACTCTGGAGGGGCCGGCCACTGTTTCGTCACTACCACCAGGTGTATACGTGACTCTGGCGTATTGTGTGCCTGACCAAAACCAGGCTTGGTTTCCCCCATGAATGTGATAGGCGGCTTTAACCATGATGGAGAATCAAAGAGGGTTTAACTTGATTTGGAATGAGATGGTCTCGGAAACAAGAATAGAGAATCTGAAATGGGTTTTTGAATATCAAAGTTTTTGGTCAAACCAAACTTGCTAATTCTATTACTACTTATAAAGATCTGTTTCGTAAGATTCATCGATTGAGCTTTCTGGTACGTGACGAAAATGAGTTCACCGTCTTTTCATATAGCTGCGGTGAATATGGAATATGGGATATGTATGCTATAATTGCAGAATTCCCCAACAAAATGCATTTTCCATTAGTCGGGTAAAAAGTCCCCACACTACCCTACAAATTAGGGCGCTGTTAGATAGTGGAGCAATCCTGCAGATGACTAGCCCTAGCTGTGTGATGAATTCGTTCAGTTGCTGATATTTATGACGAGGCTTAATGGTACTGGGTACCTATGTAATTACCGACAGTATTACCCCTCACCCCGCTAGCTCTGACACTCTAAAGTTTTCTCCACGTACAGCAGCGCTTCTTTTCACTCAGCATACACTGCCATGATTATGACTGTTGGACAGAAGCCAGTACGACTATGCATGAAGCAATAAAGTGGACTAGAAAATCTCTATATGCGCTAAGGAGAGAAGAAAGAACTATCTACATGTAGAAAACTAAATGTAGTGGGAGCAAACATATAGTGGCCATGTGATCATTTCTAACAACCCCTACAACTAGTATCGTGGTCTAGACTACGACATCACCCGTCCATTGGCACCTAGGAGGTACCTATCGCCCGTCCACGGTAGGCAGTAGGCTATTTGGATTGTCAAGTGCCCGCCTACAAAGCCCACGGCCCGTGGGCATACCTAACGCGGAGATACCTACTATGCCCACTATTATCAATTTACCTAAAATTAGACTTCGGCACAACCCACTCTAACCCGGACCCAACCCAAAATGGGTTTTGGGTCTAGGTAACCTATTAGGGCCCTAATATAGTATAAACTAGATAAATAGACTTCTAGCGTATAACTATATAATTAATATATTTTTCGCTTATAATATTAACTATTTCACTTATAGCGCTCTTCTAGAATAAATCAAGAATAAATGAAATAATTAAATTAGGATATATTTCTCTAATATCAATTAAAATCATAAGAGACTACCACGAGGTTAACTACCTGTTGGAAAATTGGCTACTACTAAGGTGGGGAGAAAGCAGAGGAAGAATCATGATGTATTCGATCTAGCAATTCAAAGTTTATATACCCTTGTAAAGCCATCTAAGCAAGGCTTAATCTACTAGTAAACAAGCTGTTGAATAGGAGATGGCATCTTGATAGGATTTCAGAGGATATCAAGATTGATGGTAATAGTATGCGAGTACTACCGATTGATGTTTGCGCTCAAAGAGTACGTTATTTCGGCCCCAGTATGTGTACGTGAATGTAGAATTAGAAGGTAAACAAGATCGGTAGGCTACCCTGGTTGCACCGGGTAACTCGACGGTCCCAATAGCACCTGCACCCTCTGATATGTTGTGCAGAGAGAGTTTGTCGAGCGAATCGAACGCAAAACTCCGCCGCGGTGCATACTGGTGGAGGGTCACTGTTATTGATTCCTTCGTCAATGGAAGAATGCAGCGAGCCTTGTAAGGACTGATTCTTATCATTCGTGTTACAATCCTTGCACTACCGAGTGATGGGGGTTGAGCTCGTCAAAATCCCCGTACTTCTCGCTGAAATGAATCCATGACCTTCCGTGGTTCTTGCACCAGCACCAGCAGGTCCAACATCCTCATTTTCACCCTTCACACTTTGTAGTCATCTTTCGGGTTGTCCTTGCGATCCTTGCCATTTTGAGGTGACTGAAATCATGAAGCAATGGAGAGAGGGACAAGAGTTGGTTCCGCTTGGAATATAGGGTAACAATGGCGTTCGAAGCTCGGGCTGCAGTTCATTCAAATTGCTGGAAACTTCTAGCTGTGGAGGCCCAGCTTCGGGAGCTGCCTACCTACGTCTGTAGGTAGTGGGCCTTGGCTTGATAAATTCGTTCTTTCTCCAGTCTATCATCCCGGTGTATAAGCAGCAGCTCGTCATCCGTTTTCACAATGATCATTCAAATTGATGCTGAAATAAACAACGGCTTTTTATGGAAAAGTTCTCGGTTTTAAGGGCTATGTTCCACTTCTGTGATGTAATATATCAGCGACACTCCTCAACAGAGACAGATCACATCAATAGGAAAGAGGATTAACCCACTTAAATATATGCAAGATCCCACACGTTGGAGACTCGACACTCTCAAGGAAGAATGGTAGCCAGGGGGTTTTGCATCCGGATTCAACATCCAGCGAGGATTGGAAACGGCAGCGTCACAAGCAAGCTCTGTTTCTTTTTGCGGTAACCAGCACTATCTGCCAGATATTCACCAGAACCTTGAACTTCCTGGAGAGAATATTCAAACTCAAGGTCAAAGTCATTAACCCTATTCTTTCTTGTGGCATCCCCGATAGCGAGCCATCGTAAGAGTGGAACTTGCCGAGGCGCTGATAGCTTACTAGCAATGCATGGACTTTATCTTCCATGCCTGGAGTCCTCTCGTTGTGACATTTCATAACATCTTCACAAGGTTTCTTGGCTTCGCAATTATCGCTTCGCGGTTTGCTTTCTCGCTGTCAGGTCGTTGAGCTATTTCTTCCGGTGTCGTCAGTAAAATGTAATTCGGGGCTGCACAGGCAGCAATACACACAATACCGTCAGTAGATAGATCCCCAATACTGTAGTAACAACTAAACACTCGAATAACCGGAAAGGTCTTGTTTTTGGGGCCTGGCAACCCCGTCCCATCAGACAATGCCATGTTTGCAAGCGTGTTTCATCTCCCGCAATCAACTGTTCCTCAAGGATTGAGTTTCGTGATCCCAGACTAGCAGTACGTATCGATCGTGCGATGGCTCCAACGTGTGCTCGAAGAAAGGGCGGCAACGACATCTTGCCCGAAGCTTTTCCATGCCATAAGTTCGCCCACGAAATTTCACTTGTAGATTTCCCTACTATTGGCACATTTTGGCCCTACTCGCAAGCGCGTGAGAGATTCTAGAAGCAGTTCTTGGGCTGCTAGAGGTATGATCCAAGCCATTTCTCTCAGCCTCCTCGATTTAGCGCAGTTGCTCGTTGTTAAGAGGTGTCTCTTGACAAAAGCCAGGCCATGGGTTTAGTTTTTGGGGTATTGTACCAGCGGTGTACCTCATCCCTGTATTAAGGCCTCGTTTAAACCAGATAAGGCTTTCAGGTTAAGGTGTGAATCCAGGATATTTGTTGCCTTGGAATTATCCAACGAATATATGCCAGCGGGTCTCAAACCAGGACTGGGGGTCCCAGCCGAATGATTTCCGGTTTCCCTTTGATGTCAGTTTTGTCTCTGGCACCGCCAATTCCTAGTCGTGCGCACTGCACTGTGCTCAACGGCACAAGGTCGGCGAGTCATGCTTGTTTCATCTTCTTTTTGGCCCTCTGGGGCATTGCCGGTAACCGTTAGGCTGAGCAGTTTTGCCTTCCAACACACAACAATATCGGTGCAACTGTTGACGAGGTTGATGATGATGCAGGGTGATAATGGAGATCTTGACGAGTTTTCCATATCCTGGATCTGAGCGAGTTTGTTTCGATGGAGGTCCGCCATCTGGTCACTGAATTCGACGAAGTCGCCGAAACGAAGTCGGCTCGCCGCCACCCAGTCAAGGTAGAATAGGAAAGGAAGCATAAGAGAATCTCAAAGAAAGACCAAGGGGCTCCGAAACCCATCGAACCGGCATGGCATTGGGTGTCGACTTCCATAATTCCCAGTCTCAGGGGAGTTGGTTCTACCCTGCGCAAAAGCTAGCCCATAGGGCTAGGTCGTCGGTTCATTGTATTGATTTGGTGCTTCCCTAGTATTGATCGGGGTGTGGTTTCGACCGCTTGAGTGCAAGGTCTGGATCCCGTATCTGTGCTGTCCTTTGGAATTATCCAACGAATATCTCCAGCTTGCGCATTCCATTCGCTATGTTGGATAGTTAGATATGTGACACCTGTTTAGGCTTCTCACTTACTATTTGCACCTTACCTGTTGAGGGAAACAGCTGCGTCTCCTTTCTTCTCGTCTCGGACATCTCTCTCTTGAGAACTTCCCCTCATGGGACCATATATAGCACATCTCCCTCGTTCACTCTGGTATTCGTGAAATGGAATTCATCAACAATGTAGTGTGAAGATCACTTCTACTCGTTTCGATTAGCGGGAGGGGTTAGTTATATCCTTGGATTTCAAATGATATGTCATCGTAGGTTGTGAACTCACCTGGCGGGATGGTGGAGACAGCAAGGTCACCTTTGGTCCAAGAATCAACCCGGAAGACTGGTGGGTTGTGGAGTCCTTCAGTCAATGGTCTTGCTGAGAGATGGGCGTAAGAGAAAGTAAGAAGATGGTTTAAAGAGGCAGTGATAATTTAAATAGGCAGCCTATGATTTTTTCATGTTTGGTTTAATGCCAGAATGTTCGAGGTTGATGAAAATGTGAAGTTGACGAATTGTGCTAAGAATATATATGGAGCTGGGAGATCAGATGGAGTATGTGAAAGAGATGTTTGACTATGAAAGGGGAATTCATGTGACCACCAGAGCAGCAGATAAACAGGAATGACAAACAGGTTTCCATAATTTATAGAGATAGGACGCCAATGCACTTTCATCAATGGACTGAAGGACTGAAGGATGTCTTACAAACCCGCCTCCACCCCCGCCAAGTCCGGAGATTACCCAATTCAGCCCCCAACTTGGAAGTCCCTAGCCCCCCGGGGGCCAACTACATGTTAATATTCTAAGATATTCTAAATACCCTCACTTAACCTATCTAAATTCTCCCAATCACCTAACAAATCACCTCCAAAATGGCCTCGGGTCTAATCCTAAACCCCCACCTCCTCCTCCAAACCCTCCCATTGGCAACAAGCACGGGAACCCTCGCGCACGCGCTACTAGAACTGACAACAAACACTGGCTTCCTCCTCCCCTCCCTACAACCCACCTCCGACAAAGTTCTGCCAAAATGGTACTCCCACGTCTTCAATCGCGCAGTATGGACAGTCCTCGCGCTGAATCTGGGCACGATAACCTCAGCCGCTGGCACGCTCTTCTTAAATCGCTATTACCCGCGCAAGCCGCTGCAGACGACGGCGTTTTATTGGATCGGACTGGCGGGCGCGATCGGACATTTGGTTTTTGTGCCGTTTGTCGCTGGCCCGGTTCAGAGGATTGTGGATGATGTTGGTGCTAAGGAGGATTTGGGGGAGAGTGGGGTTGGCGCGTCAGTTGATATGGCGCGTTGGGTGGGGATTCATCGGATTCGGATGGTTGTTGCAGATTTACCAGCTTGGATTGCTTTTGTGGGGGCTATATTGACCTTGTGATCTTAATGCTGGGTATTGGAATTGATGTTAATGTTAAAGTATATTGTGATGTGTTGAGATATGTAGTATGTCTGTTGGTGTAAATTGAACGCTTTCTCTGCCCTCTAAAATATCAACACGCTAATGCAAATGATACAGTATAAAACAAACAAAATATATCGCTAGATCAAACAAATACATGTACACGCCCGAATCTACAAACTAAAGATCCCACTCCTCTTCTTCCCATGGGGGTAAACAATCAGAGCGGAGATGAACAGCCCAACAGAAATACCAATAGCTGTCTGGATCATACCATATCCCAGTGAGGTAAGCGAGGTATTAGAGCTCGTACTAGTAGTACTAGAGGCATTTCCAGATGCAACAGCTTCGGCGTACTCCAATCCGGAAATAATCGACCCACTAGATGCAAGACCCGACGGGACGAGGGTAAAGATACCCGGAATAATAGCAGCAGCCGCATGACCATGCCACAAGCGACTATACAGGTTAGCCAGAAGGCCAATAGTGAATGCGCCAACCGTATTAGCGACCTGATTTGATCCGAGCTTCTTCGTGCTAAAGTAATTTGCGACATAGCCACAAACACCCATGAAGATCGTAATGGGCAACTGTTTCGGCTTGGACTGATTAATCAGCGCAGCGAAGAGACAGAATAGCGCAACGAAGGGGAAATGCTGGATATACTCGTTCCCCCAGACCTCCGGTAGATTCGAACATGTCGACTCCTTCGTAGCGTTGCGGTCCATTAGCCCGTAGATTGTCGTGCCGACGGTAACGCCGTACCCGAGGAAGAGCGAGTAGATAATCGTGAAGACGAGACGGATTGAACCCGCGTTCATCTGATGCGACTGTAGCTCGAGACTACTGCTTAGCACGGCGAAGCCTGGTAGGATCATTGCGATGGAGGACTGTGCCATGGCTGAGAAGCAGAAGACACGCTCGCCGTTGTGTTGGATGCTGCCGAATGCGCGCGCAATGAAGGAGGTGAGGACCGCGGCAATGACTTCTAGTACGTTGGAGTAGGTTGCTGAGCGTGGCGCGAGGACGTACTGCATAAACCCTACTAGACAGCCTAGTATGAAGATTATGGGTAGGTCCACGGGGCGAGCGCTGAAGGCGTATGGGCCGACGGCGACGCTGGCACAGCCGGTTAGGAAGATGAGAAGCCAGCGGTTGTAGCGTGGTTTGCGTTGCATGATCTCATCCAGGTGGTGGGTTGCTTGTTCGACGCCGATGACGTCGTGGACGACGCTTTTGAGGATGTTATGTGTCTCTGCGAGACGGGAGAGGTCTAGACCCTGCACTACGCGGATGATCTTTACCTCGGCGGTGCGGGTTAGCGGGTCGTCGAAGGACATGAACATGCATCCTGGGATGTACATGAACTGGGCTTTGATGTCCAATACGTTGGTTGTCATCATCATGTACTCTTCAAGGCGGTGGGTTGGGGCGCCATATTTCATTAGAGCACGACACAGTTGCATGATGTACTGTTGGCGGGCTAGGATGGCGGCAATGTGGACGGTAAGCTTGATGCTTTTCTTGCTTTGGCGCTTTTTCTTCTTTCGTTCTTTGGGATTCGCGGGTGGGGGACCCGTGGCTCCGGGGACCCCAACCCGACCCAAATCCATGGATGCATTGATGAGGGAGGAAGTATAGCTGTGGGTTGGTTTGTTGGGGTGGCTGCTGTTGTACCATTTCAATTTCTCTTTCTTTCCACCCGGTGTCACTGTGCCGGACGGTGGGATGCTTTCTGTATCAGGGTCGGTTTCTGAAGTCGTAGAAACAACACTCATCCGGCTTGCAGCCTGGAGGTTGTTAGCGTATACACGGAGCAATTGTGACAGAAGTCCTCCGGGTGGACTGCCGGGTGTTGCTGTCCCATCCGGGGTTCCTGGGGTTGTCCAACCAGAACGCGGTTCCTCGATGCGTGGAGGCCGTGCCTCGAACTGTGACCCCATTCGTTCCACCAAGAGCCGAGCTTGCGAATCATAGTCTGTTCCTGGGAGCCGGGCTTCTTCATCGGCTGCCTGGCGGGCCTCGAATCCTCGGATATCATCTGTTGCTCCATAGTCCTCTGGTAACATCGGCGAATCCAAGCCATCAGCCTCTCTTTCGTGAGGTCGGCCGAGCTTCTCGGCTATCGTGGCAGCCCGATTTCGAACCCGTTGGCTTGCTGTCCGCCATCTTTGGGAAGTCGAGATACTAGGCCTCAGGTTGGTTTCGTCTGGGTGAAGGGTTTCTGTATTGGTATCGGCATTGTCCTTGTCTTCAGCTCGGTCCCTCTCGGGTATCTCCGCAGAAGGACGACGGATCGGCGGAAACTTTTCTTGCTCCTCCGACATGGCGGGGCCGGCAAACTTCAATTCTTTCGGAAGTTGGCGGAAGTGTAGTGGCTTTCGTCCTTTCAGATATAGGATGAATAGGAAGTATCAGAGTAAGACTTCTTCCAGCGGACCCCCACAGCAAAGACTTATGTGGCAACGGTCTACCTACAACATAGGTAGTAACAGAGGGCCCCACAAACGGTCGGAAATGATATGTTGAGAAGAGAAAAAGAAATCGGGGAAAGTGGGTTCCTTTTGTCTGAAATGAGGAGAACCCGGTCTAATTTGCAGGCTCCACGTAATGCAATTTATGCATTGGAGTTTATGCCATCAACACGGCACAGAATTTGTTCCTGGCCTGACCCAATTAGGAACTGAACATATCCCAGTCTCTGATAGGCTGACTTAATTTATATGTGACACCCGTGGACCTTCAAGGAACTACCTACCCGGTGACATCTGACATCTCGCATAAGAAAATAAAAAATAAAAAAAATAAAAACAAGCTTCTCACCCAGCCACTAAACCGCACTAACTTCCATTTCTTGCTGATCTCTACTTTGTACATAGCATGTGCTATTAACACATTAGCACAGTTAGACTAACTACTTGTATAAAATTTTCAAAATATCCTATATAGAAAGCAAAATTTTTTCTTTAGTCTGGACTCTAGAGTCTAGACTGCGCCTCTCTAGGGCTATTATTAGTATATGGACCATGGTTCCACCTGAAGAATCAAGATGGTCATGCTGAAGATTCTAAATTGGCCCAGAGAGGCTAAGAGATTCTAACCAAATAAAATATGTAATATTGAATTAGTTATAGGTATGGTATAATAATGTTCAAAATGAGTTTACCTCTCTGTTCTTCCTAATCCGTACTGGGCGATTCTTCCATCACCATGTACATGTGGCACCTTTGATTACATTAATTGTATCTCCTAGCGATCTAGTCTAGAATATTTTTGCTCTTCTATCATTTAATAATGATAGCTTAGACATTTTAACTTGTACTATTTTGTCATGCAAATGACTGTCGAATACTACTAGTACGGAGTAATAGGTCCACGGGTAGTAACCCCGGGGAAATCCTCGGACCGCCACAATAGCGCCCGACATACGTATTAAGCTTAGTCAGTAGATTCTACCCCCGGGCCCCGGGCCCCGGCACCCCGGCGCCCCGAGTCCCCGACATCCCGACGTCCCGACTGCAACCGATTTTACCAGCGCTAATGTGTGAAGCAGCACGTCCAGAGCCGTAGAAGTTTGGAAATTACTATCTAGGACCTTTGGTTCTCTGAATTTTGAGATTAAATAAAACATTTATTCTGTTCCAAGAGTTCGCTTCTTCCTCTCCTTCTCCTCTGGTGACAGCTCAAAGACACCCTCCGTGGCAGAGTCCACACTAGGCAAGATGACGTTGCCGACCAACCGCTTATCGTCGGATTGCATTGTCGAGTAAAGCTTCAGCTTCGTATTCAATTCATCGCGGATCATGCAGTTTTCGAATTTCCAGCTGGCAGCAAGTGCATCCAGTTCTTCGAAAGACTTGTCGCGGAAGTAGTCTGCCCATTCTGGGATCATGTACTCGGCCATGGTGATACCGCGGATGCCCCGGAAGACATGCATGTTCATCCGCCACTGCCACGGATACTTCTTCCCATATTGCGCAGGGACGTTGTCCTCAAACCATTTGTGAAGAGGCCCAAACAACCCTTCCTGAAGATGGGCATCGTCGTAAGCCCATGAATCCACCGCCAGCTGTCGCTTTTTCTTGATAATAGGGTCCAGAAGATTGATCCAAGGCGTATTCGACTGCATATGCACAAGGCCCATGGTGTTCAGATCCTTGTAGGTCCATATGCTCCAAGCTACTCCATGGGAAAGAAAATCACAGTTAATGGGATGGTGCTGTGCGTATAATTATGATGGTACTTACCAATGGAGTCAGCGGTGTAGATCTCAAGCTGCTTCTCTAGCATGTTGTAGCGCTCCCGATTATGGACTTCCCAATCTGGATTTGTTTCTTCCTTTTCGTATATAGGGCCGAACTCTCCATTCCAGATAGGGACATTGTTCTTCTTCATAAATTCCACTTTACGGTCATACATCTTGCGAATGTACGCATCTTGTTCAGGCTTGCCTTGGTATCTTCCGATCCGGTTCGGGAATCCAAAGCCACAGTAATCATGGACGGAGTAGACCGCATTGTCGTACATACGGTCAAATCGAGAGAAGTCCATGCTAAATCTACCAGGGAATTAAAGTTAGCCACCCAAGCAAAAGAGAATGAAATCAAAAATCAAAACATACGTATTCCCTTCCAGGAACAGGATATGGTCGGGATCAACCTCACGAATGGCCGGGACCAATCGATCATAAAACGACAAGAGACGCACCCATTCTTCGTCCGCGGGCTCATTTAGTGGATTGTACCCAGCAACCCATGGATTACCTCTATACCTAGCGGCAATGACTCTCCAGAGATTAATCACTCGGTCCTGAAAGTGTTTATGATCCCAAAAGGCCGCATAGCCGGTGGGGTTATCGCAGTGCCAATCCTGCGACTGGCCGCCAGGGGCAGCATGAAGATCTAAAATGACATAGATCTTGTGTTTAGCACACTGAGAAATACAAGCAGTTAGGTCAGTGTTTCTTCGGCATCAAAAGGGAAATAGCTAGATTTCGGAACTATGTCTTGGATTTAGCATCTCAGACTTACAATGTCGATGACGCGGTCAAGGTGTTTGAATCCTTGTTCTTTGATTTCAAACGGGGCCATGTCATCCTCAAAATGGCGGTAGTTGAAGGGAAGGCGCAGGGAATTAATCCCTAGCGAGACCAAGAACTCGGCGTCCTTCTCTGTGAAGAAATATTCGAGAAACCGGTCGAAAAAGTACTCGTATTTCTCTACACCCAGGACATTCAAGAGTGCCTTGCGGATCTGGCTCTCTCGGCCAGGGAAACCGTTGATGAAGTTCTCCATCAGCATCCAGCCTCCCAGCGTTGTCTAAGTAGGTCTAGTTAAAACCGTAGAAAATCAAACGGGGGAAACTGAACATGAACATGACTTACACCTCGGAGAAGAACCACATTTCCCTTGGCATCCAGGATCTGGGTTCCCTGCGTCTTAAGAATTTCTGACGACATGGTGGGAGTGAATGGAGCTCAACAATGGATGACAATGCTTCTTGTGAAACTGTTGTATTCCCATTCCAAGGAGGGATTTGGAAGTTTATAAATTGATCGCCTGCCCTTTCCCCATCCCCAAGGCCCAGGACAACACTCACTAGTGGGGATGAGGGAGTGTAGCAGCCGGCTAAATCAAAAGATTCTACCTCTATAATTCTTACAACCAAGACGTCATTCGTTTATTTTTACTCGCTCACTACATTGCCTCCGTGTGAAGTTCGTGAACCCCCACGCCCCACGACGAGAGCTCCACCAAGTTCTCGGCTTTTTAACCTTTCGGGCTTGATGTTGAGTCCGACGATTGTAAAGCAAATGGATAAAGGCCAGTTTGCGAGCGCGTAGTGGTTTCTTTTCCACAATTAGGCTATTATGTTGAGTACCATACAGCATAAATGGCAACTAGGTAAATATTACCAGGTATTAACGCCCGGAATACAGATGGGCCGCCATGAGGGCGTGCTCCATACAAGAGTGCATACATTGTTCAATCAGTGTTGCCCGCACAGATTGTTAAAGCAACGGATTTTGTCAATCTAGGCAGTTAGAGAGAATCTTATATATGTCAATTTATATCATATTATACTCGATAAGACGCCATAAAGTATGGTAGACATCATATTAAAAGTCGAGAATGACTACGGAGTACCGTCAAAGTAGTTTTTACCTCCGACACACAAAGACTAGCTACTTTTGGTAACTCTGCCGCTGGCCACTATTATCAATATGCAAGACACTATGGAGGTAACATAATAACTTACACTAACCGGGTGATAATAGTGGCCAACGGTGGACTTACCAAAAGTAGCTAGTCTGTTGGTCGGAGGTAAAAAACACTGTCGGAGGTAAAAACACTGTCGGAGGTAGAAACACTGTCGGAGGTAGAAACGCTGTCGGAGGTAGAAACGCTGTCGGAGGTAGAAACGCTGTCGGAGGTAGAAACACTATGTCGGTAGTCGTGCTATTAAAAGTCCAATAAATAAATACCTCCGAGACAGATTCGTGGGGGTCATTGAACTCACCCCCTCAACACTCAGGTTCTCACATTCTCATTATCGATCCCGCAAATCAGGTAGAAGAGTACATTTACAAGCATGGTATATCTCTAAAGCCGCAGATATCGTAAGTTCTCATCAATTCATCTAGAAAAGGAAGAATGAAAAAGCATTCTCAACCAAATCGGACATTAATGAGCCGGACATTAGGTGAGCAACACATCTACGATACTTTCCGACGTAAGACCCGGACTCTATGTGCCAAGAGAGTAGGATCAAGAACACTTTGGCTAGTAGGCCCTAAGTTCACGCCTAAATGCTCACCGTATCCTTCGACTTGGACTCACCACGAGAGTCAAAGACAATGCTTTTCTAACAATAAGGTGGTATCCACGCATCAGGATCAGCATATAACATACAACATACCTAGAAGGCCTCCTGTTCCTTTTACCTCAAGGCGGAGGTGCTAACGCATGCGGTCACTAGTGGATCTCTTTAGCTTTAATCTAGTCGGCCTGGAAACACTATTTTAGAGTATTAGTGAGAACTTTAGGCTGATTCTGCCCTCGGGGTGGGGGTACTGCTGTATGCAGTCACTAGCGGATCTCTTTCATTTTCATCTAGCCGGCCTAAAGATACGGCCTTTTTCATAGGTATGTTAGTGAGATCTTTAGGCTAAATCTACCCCAGAGGGTGCCCCATTCTTTCTTCTCGATTTGTGGAGTTTTACAGTTTCCTCTATGATAATAATATGGGGTTCATCTGTCTATAGTAACTCGATCCTAGCATATATATTTCACTTCCATCGCCCCTGTTCCATTTGGTTGGTATTTTCTATCGTGCCCACAGCATTCCCAATCAGTCAATGAGATGGACGCCCTTCGAATGAGACTGCCTGCTCCCAGGCAAGCAAAGCTGGAGAAGCAATCCACGGTCAGACCAAATTCAGACCCCGTGGAACAGTCATTGGAAGCCACATTCGCCTCTCTAACGAAAGCCGAAGCTCCATGGTATCGAGTTGCGAGTCGCATCAAGTTATACAGCCTATTGTTCCCGGCAGCAGTAATGGCCTATGCAACCAGTGGATATGACGGCTCTATGATGAACTCTCTCCAGACCGTGTCGTACTGGGAAGATTATTTTGGGAACCCAGAAGGGTCACAGCTCGGTTTGATGAGCGCCATCATGGCACTGGGTAGTATCTGCTCCACGCCGTTAGCCCCGCTAGCTGCAGATACCTGGGGTCGGCGATGGGGGATCACCATCGGCAGCATCATTATGGCGATTGGGGCCATAATTCAGTGCGAAAGCAAGAACTACGACACTTTCGTGGGCTCACGATTCCTTTTGGGATTCGGATTAACTTTCTGCACGACCGCTGCCCCGAGTCTGGTCGCCGAGCTATCCCATCCAAAGGAGCGTCCGACGATCACGGCTATCTGTAACACATGCTGGTACCTAGGCAGCATCATAGCGGCATGGGTCACATTCGGTACTCGGAACATCCCTAGCACCTGGTCTTGGCGGATCCCTGCGCTACTCCAGATAGTACCAAGCGCGCTGCAACTGTCAACCATCTGGCTGCTACCGGAATCTCCGCGGTGGCTAGTTTCACACGATCGGGCAGAAGAAGCACTGGAAGTCCTAAAAAGGTATCATGGTGATGGCCGTGCCACTGAGTTGGTCATGATGGAATATCAAGAGATACGAGAAGCAATCGATCAGGAGAAAGGTCCGACTCTTTCCGCTTCAGTGTATATTCCTTCTCACTGACCATGACCTTTTACTCTCTCTCTAGTGTCCGAACAAACCACTTGGAAGTCGATGGTCCAGTCCAGTGGGAACCGCTATCGTATCTCTCTTGTTTTCTGTATGGGCCTCTTCTCACAGTGGTCCGGCAACGGTCTTGTTTCATACTGTGAGTGTTTTCTTTACCAGAACTGTCTTTCTATTTTTAATTCCTAGTGCATTTGTGTTGCATGTGTGCTAACTCATTACCTTTGTCAACCAGACCTATCTCAAGTGCTCAACACAGTTGGCGTGAAGAATAAAGACACTCAGTCCTTGATCAATGGATTGATCAACATCTGGAACTGGGCGATCGCCCTCTTCGCTGCGAATATTACAGACAGAGTAGGTCGCCGACCGCTTTTTCGCATCTCAACAGTCGGCATGTTAGTGGTTTTCACCGCATGGACAATTGCATCGGCGCTATTCGCACAGGAGGGGACCAACGCAGCAGGAATTGCCGTCATCGCGCTAATCTTCCTCTACCAAGCATGCTATTGCGTTGCCTTCTCCCCGCTTCCTGTGGCGTACTCGGTGGAAATCTTGCCTTATTCGATCCGCGCCAAGGGGATGGGGGTTTATGTATTTTCGACCAAGGCGGCGATCTTCGTGAATCAGTACGTGAATCCGATCGGGCTGTCGAGCATTGGGTGGCGGTTCTATCTTGTCTATGTGGTGATCTTGGTGATCGAGAGCATTATTGCGTATGGGTGGTTCGTGGAAACTAGGGGCCGATCCTTGGAGGAGATCAAAGAGATATTCGATGGAGAGGAAGAAAGTGTTAGGTTGGATAAGGGCGACGATGAGACCAAGGAAGTAGTTTCTCATTCGGAGAATGTGTCGGCGTCACTTCGATAGGGCTGGGGGGATTAGGCCTAAATATATGTACATAGTGAAAAGCTCCCTGGGAAACAAGAAAGGAAGAACACACTAAACTCTGAGGAAGCTAATAGTGTGCAATTAATTAGGTAGTACTCCATATTTGTTATCAGCATTGTCGTCTATATGACATCTCATGAAATTGGGGTGTTTATAGGATTCCAATTAGCCCTAGAGATGCTAAGAGATTCTATCTAAAGAAAACAGGCTATATTATTATGGGTATAGTACAGTCAAATTTGAAATCAGTTTTATTGTTTTTCTGCCAGAGCCCCTAAGTTGCGCTAATCCGTATCAGGGGATCCATGGATATTTTGGCCCCCATATATCGACGTACCTTCGATTACATTCATTGTATCTCCTACCATCTAGTCTAGAATAAGCTCACCCTTCTATCATTTAATGATATCCTAGCCGTATTGCATAATACGATTCTGTCGAATTGATTACAATATATTTTGTCACATAAATAATTCCCAAGATTATACGCCTGGCATCTTTATCCCCCACAGCCTCTACCAACATACAAGCTTCGTTCCAGCACTCTACAAATGGCGGCTGAATACCCAATCTCATATTTAAGTTGGAACGAAAATGGGCCCGCATCCATCGTTCTTATCCACGGCGCTTTCGTGACTGGCAGTTGGTGGGACCTCGTCGTCCCCCATCTCTCAACCAAATATCACATTTTGGCCCCCGACCTGCCAGGCCACGGCCAATCGACACAACAAGAATTCTCAGTTCAGTCTGCCGCAGATTTACTGGCACAACTTATTCGCGACAAGGCGATTGACTCGCACGCACACGTTATAGGACACAGTCTAGGCGCTCGAATAGCCATCCAGCTCGCATGTACCTATCCCGACCTGGTGCAATCAGTGTTTGTATCGGGATTCGTGTCAATTCCTCGCACCGTCTTCACACCTTACATTCCCCGTGCGATGTGGGCGATGGAGCATGTCGAAAATCTAATACCGAGGTCGGTGGTTCGATGGGCTATGGACGGCACCGATATTCCTCACAACACAAGTACTCCCACGCTCAAGCTTTGTCAGCAAATTGCGAATCCTTCGCCTGAATTGCAATGGCCGGAGCCTTGGGCTGCTAGGACTTTGATTGTGGTTGCTGCAAAGGGAGGTCTAGTACCCAGTGGTGATAGCAAGGAGATTGGCCTTCGGTTAATGGAGACTGGTCGCGAGGGCAATCCTGAGACGATCGCTTACTTCCATTCGGAGATGCGACATCCGTGGAATCGGCAAAATCCGAAGCTCTTTGCGGATACCGCCAAGGCCTGGATTGGAAGGGAAGATATTCCTGATGGGTTTGAAAAGCTTGTACATGAATAACCTGGGAAACCAGGTTGTCCGCTAAGTTGTTATCATAGATAGACTTGAGGGGCCTGTCTTTTGTGTGGTAAATCCAGTTTATTAACTAGCGAGTCTGGGCTGGAAAAGAACTATAGTATCATTAGTATGGCAGGTCAATAAGCAAGGAGGCCATGTGATATACAATACCATACATGGAGTCTAGAATTACGTACTTTAAAGATACTGAGGTAGATCGCCAAGAGATCTACTATAATTTAAGCTGATCGAAGGTACCTCGGTAAATCAGCGAATGTGCTATATCCGTTATGTCCGTTAGGAAACCTTGGATGCATTAGAGTTGCTTCAATCTTACTATTTGTATACTACATAGCCCACTTGAGGATTATAAGACTCGAAATTGAAAAATATTGTACAGCCCCTATCTATTCTACTGTTTATATATATCGCACTCGTAATTGGTGACCTCAGTGCTGTCATCTCGACACTTATCCGACACTCCCGACCCCACATCAACATCATGTCTCTCCAACTCTTCCCAGATCTTTACAATCTACACAATCTATATTATAAACCACCAATATTTACACAAAACCAAACCCCATGCCCATCTCCAAATCAAAATCAAAGTCTAACCCCCTCACATCCCCCGCAACACCAATAGCCCTCCACCCCAACCACCTTCTCTCCCCACCCGCAGACCTCCTAACCAACACCGCAACAACCCTAACAATAGCGCCCACCCAAGAAACCAAAATCTCCTCTCCCACATTCACAGTCCACCGCATCCGCGCACACGAAACCCCAGACAGCCCAGACCGCACCGTCCTCCTCTACACCGTGCACGGCAAATCATGGCCGAACACAAGTCGGGTGATCTGCGACAACGAGGACGTGCCGGTTCTCGTACTGCGACGGGCTTGGTTAGCGCGTAAATGGACTGCCAGACTTCCTGACCAAAATCAGGATTTATTGGTTGCTTCTGTGCCGTGGGCTACCGATGGACCTAGCTCGAGGGTTGGCGTTGGGGGTGGCGGGTTTAGGCTTGAAGTGCAGTTTGCAAATGCGCTTGCAGCTACGCCGGGGTCAGGGGTTGTAGGAGGGGTGGGAGGGGGAGGAGTGGGGGGTTGGTGTGTCTGGTTCTGACGAGCCCCCGCCTTATAGTGCTGTTTCTGGGGTTGGAGGTGAGGAAGGTAGTGGGGGGAGGAGTGCTCGTTGTGAGGGGAATGCGGGGATGGTACAGAGAAACGACAAAGTACATCCACCACCCCCCAATTCACATCCTGGGAGTCCAATAGCATCAACGCCAAGGCATACACAACACCCCAACTCTCCTTCCATTCTCCCCTCTTACGACTCTGTCCGTCGAGAATCGCCTAATCCTCTACGAGATCTGCTCGATGCACTCGAGCCACCGCAGGAGCCGGCGCCGGCTGCATTGTTCCCTGCGTCTGCATCTGCATTACGAAATGCCAATACCGGTCCCAGTTCCAGTTCCAGTCCTGCTGATGCAGATGCCAATGCAGCCCCCGGCTCAAAAGTGGAGTTAAAAATGGTGCATCAAGCTGCCTCGGGTACGGGTGTGATGATGGATAACCGGAAGATCATGCAGATCACGCGACACAATTCGATGGACTACAGTAAATCCAAAATGCAATTGAGGCCGAGGTGGGAGGTTGAGGTTTCCGAAGGTGTTGATTTGTTACTGGTGAGTTTTCCTTTTCGTTTAATTAGGAGCTGTGGGCTTCCCACGGGTGTTGGTCCTATTGATAGGATATACTGACATCCCATGTAGGCAGTGAACATCGTGTTGATTATGGCTGAGTCTGTGTCATCTCAGAATAGATGGAAGTAAGCATTGTTCAAGGGAGTTAATTGGTGTAAGCTGATGGGATTTGCATAGAGTTATGTAGGACTAGACTGCCTGTTTCCAATGGGTAAGAAATTCTGATTCTAAAGGATCATCTTGCCCAAACGGCCTTCTCTTCTCTCGCTCGCCAAACTTTTTAAACCATACATTCGTCAAGGGAACAAATCTTCTTTTGTTCCGTATTAAGTATTTCGTTGACTCCAGGAAGTCTTTCTCGTCACAAAAAAGGAAAAACAAAAATAATGTCAAAGCAGTGTCAAAACCAGCACTTTCGCATTAGGCATATCCAATTCCAAAAGCTTACGACTGAAGCTTAGCCATGCGCTTGGTCATAAAGTCGAAGAAGGAGAACTGGCTGGGCTGGTTGCCGTACTCGTACACGAAACGGCTAGCCAAGTAGCTGCCGAAGATGGCACGGAGGTAGTTCTCAGGGACCTAAGGATTGATTAGTGGGGATTCAAATTTAACATAGAAAAGAAAAGAGGGGAGACATACACGTTCCAAGATGGTTTCCAGACCGATCTTCGCCAACAGACGACGGGGTAGAGCGTCACCAAGAACAGAGCGACGGAGCGCGACATTGTCCCAGAGCTCAGTCATCTGAAGTTCCTCATCAAGCTTGGTGATAGCCAAGCTGAGACGGTCACTGAGTACACTGCGAAGCACACCAGTTTGCTGGTGTTCGCGCCAGATGGCCTCGAACTCGAGAGCGGCGTTCGACTGGATGACATCCTGCACGTCACGGACGTATTCCTTGTAGAACTCGGGAACGGTGCCGTCCTCACGGATGCACATGTTCTCGACGAACTCCTCGTCGTTGAAAGACAGCGAGGCGAGGACTTCCAGGGAGGAAGATGTCACACCACCCTTGTTAGCAGAGGCATCCTTGTACAGGATGCAGCCAGCCTTCTCGAGGCGCAGCTTGGCGTCCTGGGTGATGAACAGGTTGGCACCTTCGACGATGTAGGGGATGATGGCCTTGTTGTCCCTAATGAGCTTGCCGACGGATGCAAGATCGATGGACTCAGGGCGGCCACCGCAAGGCACGAACACGTCGAACTTCTCCTGTGAGCGCAGGTGGTATGTGTTACGGAAGATCATGCCGTTGTGGACGATCTCGCCGCTGGGGAGCTTGACGTTCTTCTCGTCGACCAGGACACGGTAGCCCTCGGGGGACAGCTTGGTCAAGTCAAACTGTGAGATCATCGCACGCTTCTTAGCCAGACGGAGGAGCTCCTCGTGGTTCAGACCGTTCGGGTCGTAGATCACACCGGATCCATCAACAATGGCTCCGTACTTCTCGTTGGAGAGAAGAATCTCGTTGGAACCAAGATCGCCGTCGGGACCACCGGTCTGCAGCTTGAGCTGTGTAGAGGGGTCGATGTTCAGCTTGCGCTGGATTCCGAGCACGTATTGGCGGACTGAAAGAGTGGTCATGCCGTAAGCGTCGTGGGGAATACCACCCAGCTTGGGGCTCTTGCCAGTGAAGAACGACTTCCACCAGGGAGCGCCACGGCTGCGAGCGTGCTCGGTGGCCCAGTTGACGAGCTCAGCGGTGTTCTCGTCAGGGCCCATGAAGAGGATCTCGTCCTTGCCGTGCAGGTCAACGATCGGATCCTTGATACCGGGGCTGACGGGGGGCAGGAGCAGATCGAGAATACTGTCAATGTACTTCTCGAAGGCGACCCGCGCCTTATCCTGGTGGTCAGCATCCAAGAGGATGACACCCTTGGCACCGCCTTCGGGGATATCCTTGTTCTTGCGCTGTTGGGTATTGGCCAAGTTGTAGTTCTCATCGAACAACGAACGAGCGTTGATGTTGTATGCTTCACCGTTTCGACTCTTCACAATACGGATACCACCACGAGCAATGTCGCGGAAGCGCAGGTGGAAACCGCGGAACTCGGAGCTGATAACCAGGAACATGCCGTAGAGGGGCTGGGGGTATTCGTGCTCTGGCAAGAAGTCCGGCTTCAAGCGGAAGCTGAGAGCCACCTTGGTCGGGGTGAAGAAGTTGGTCTTGAGGATGGAGGCGTTGAACACGCGGAAGGAGGTCATAACCATCTCGTCGTGCTCGTTGAGGGCGGTGCCACGGATGAGCTGCTTCAGCTTGGCGCCATCGAGGACCTCGTCGACCTGCAGACGCAGGTAACTGAGGGTAGGGAGGAAGTCGTCACCAGACCCCTGGGTCTGAACGTAGTGGGTGTTGGCGAAGTCAAGGTAGAGCTTGTGGATGAGCTCGGGGTATTTGTTGATAATCTCAAAGATGTAATCAGCAGTGAAGGTCTCTGTACGCAGACGCTTCTTGATCTTTGAGAGCAACTCTGCATGCACACTGTTGTTGCTGTCCAAAAGAGCAGCCAACGAAGTGTATTCTGAACCCAGACGATTGAGGAACTGTTGTACGAACACCCAGGCGCAGTGAGCGTAGATTGTCTCCTGCAAGCTCAGACGACCAGTGGCGAAGTGGCCCTGGAAGCGGTTCTGAGGGATACAGTACAAGAGGGAGACCTCCTTCATGATCTGGTGGATAGCAGCCTCAATGGGGGGAACTTGGCTGAGATCTCGGAGTTGTCTGAGGGGCGCAGGTAGAGCGAAATCACAGTGATTCCGTTGGAGAAGTTCTCCAGGTACTTGCGCGAGCTGGTCAAGCGGTAGTAGTGGTACAAATCTGACAGGGCACTGAACAAGCCCATAGCGGATCCCTGGCGGTACGCAATAACCAGACGCTTTTCCCGGCTTCCCTCGATTTCGAACATCTCGATGACGGGACCGGAGCGACCAACGGCTGTGGTGATGATTTCCTGGTAAATCGCCTTGGTGTTGGGGGTGGCCTTCTGCAAGAAGCGCTTCTCGCCAATAATATCGATGTTGGTCTCATTCGGTGAGGGGTTGGGGTTGGCAAACAGGCACTTGTACACGAAGTAGCAGCGGAGCTGCTGGCCGTTGTCGCCTGGCAGAGTGCTAGGCGAGCGGAAAGTCTCCACACGGTAGCTGTTGGCACCCTTGGAGTGGTTGATGTACTTCTCATCGATGCGCTGCTCGTAGCGTGGACCATCGACGGAAACCGTACCGGGCCGGCTGGTATCGATGTAGACAGCATGGTCCTCGGCCTCTTTGTCCAGACGAATCTCCAACTGTTTATCATCGCGGGCATAGGCGGCGACTTTGGCGGCGTAGAGGGACAGGATCTGGGTCACAATGGCATCCACAGACTCGGTCTGGAAGTATGTATCATCGATGCCAAGCTTGTTATAGAACCAGGTGGTTTCGGAGATGACAAAGTCACTAGGGAAGAAGCCCTTTTCCTCCAATATGTCCATAACTGCTGGGAATTAGCCAATTGGATCATCTCAATATTATCAATCAATTCTACTGACCTTGTTCCATCTGTTTCTGCTTGCCCTCGAAGGTAGCCGCGATATAGCCTGGGTCCTCTTCGGAGAGCACACGGTGCGGGGTACCGGGAATCCCCAAGTGAGTGGGCTGCGGGGACGGCTGTCGCAAAGCACTTCCAACGGCATGATCTAAGTGCTTGTTGTGGGGGGGAAGCGTTGGAAACCGATGGGGGTACCGGAGCCGGAGCTTCCATCCTGGCTCGCAAAGAGCTTAGGCTGGGGGCGAGAAGGCAAGCTCACGCCATTGCTATTGGGAGTCTCCGACTGCGGGGTAGATGCGGGAGACGACATGGTGTAGTATGTGAGAAAAATCTCTTAACACGTAAGAGCGAGAAGATGAAAGAAGCTATATTAAGTCAATTAGTAGCTGAGATGAATCATCGAGTCGGCACGTGTGAAGATGAGATAAGGCGACACAAAGAATGTTCTTATCTCAACCAGGTAAAGTTGAGATAGCAAGCAAGGAGGGAGAGACAAGAAGGAGAATGACTTACTTGCAAATACAATGATCACCGATCGTCGCCATGGACTGAAGGTGATGAGAAAAGGGAAAGATGGTTTTTGGATCAGAGCGAACCAGAAAATCCGGGGAACCCTAGACCTTTTATACAGAAACCTGATTGTTAACTTTGACAACTCTTAATAGTAATTATGTCTATTAATTCTATTATCTCTATTAATAAATTAATACATACCTCAAAATTGATTTCTATTATTATTCCATTTATGTCCCGCAACCCCTTGACCAGTTATAGCCGATGGTAGGCGGGAGGTTCTACCGTATAGAGGTCTCGAAGCCCACTGCGATCCGCCAGTTCCACTTTGTTCCACCCCAAAACGCTCATTCTCTGTCCACTTTTGACTAAGAAGCGGCGATACATTGCACGCTGATTGGAGCTTATCGCCCCTCCTTCCGAGCTCAAGCCGATAGAAAATCCCGCTGCGTCATGCGGGCCGATATGAGGGAAAAAAATTACCTCAAAAGCCTGGAACGTGGCTGAGGCGAACTAGTTCACAGGAACAGGGGCAAAAGAGAGGTGAGCGGGTGACCTGCAAGAGACTTGAACCTGAAAAAAGAATAGTCACCTGAGATGTCTTACTAAAGTGCATGGACAATAACTATACGATGGACGATGTATACAGGAGGACCTTGGAATGATGCGATCTCTATCGAACATCGTGGAATGCAATGTGTCATAACCCACTCGACTGGGATAAGAAACTTCGGGGTTTTTTTTTAGTTATGCTAAATGCCTCATTCTCAATGTTCCAGCCCAAATGGCGTACACCCCCAGATCGCATCGTGATCGACTACCCTACTCATTTTAGATCCACTGGTGGCTGTCTCGGTCCGGGGGATTTTCGCCATTAAGAGATAGTTTGACGAGTTTGACACGTTTTGCCAAGGTCAATTGCAATTCGATGCGATCTTTGCGAATGTCACCGGGCCGGTGATAGAAGAGCCGGTGACAAACAGTAATATCTTTCTCTCCATGTGTATGTCATATATCTCCAACTGGAGGGGCTAGGGCTGGTACCTGGATGACTTGCGGGGTAAACATAACCATTCATATTCTACTCAGTGCACAGTCTTCAGTTGTACCTCGTTATTCGTTAGAAATGGCGCATTGGAACCTCTTTACCCCAACAACTATATCGTCTACGTTTTTTTTTACGCATCCCAAGAAATTCATGGCGGGGCCTTTACGTGATAGCGGACTCTCGGCGGACCTGCGATTGGAAGGGTCCGCCGGCCACCGAGATATGAAGTAATTGCTGTCCTCTAGGGGAAATGATATTCCGTTCCCGTGACGTAAAATTGATAAGCCTCAGGCATTTGGATCGCAATTTTCAAGTCTAAAGACCCGGGAGACCACTCCAGCTCGGATAGCCTTCCGATCCCCCAGGTTTTCTTCAATTTACTTGGTTTTACCCGAGTTTGCTTGACACATAGAAAGTCTTCCCCATGTTTCCTAAGGTTTCCCAAGGTTTCCCAAGGTTTCCTGGTGCTTGATTGGTGTTACCATCTGACACGAGCTCGGGCGCTAAGTTCACAGCTATCAGGATATATTTTCACCGTTGGCAGTTAAGGAGAAGTTCGTGCAGTCAACTTCCAGGACACGGGACACTAGCAGGTCAGAAGATCATCTAGAAGATAGTCAGCTTGCATTTTTGAAAGCATATTCTCTGCAAGGTTGGAAGTGGCATAAAGTTCAGGGTTGCAGGTCCAAAGTAGGGCTCTCGTTCCCGAAAGATCGTGACAAGCCCAAGGGATACCTTATAATTAGATAAAGATCTTCGAAGACGTGCAAGGGCCCAAATAAAACGCGATTCCAAATCCGACAATTCGTCAATGCTAATCTGTAGATCAGGCACCCTTCCCAACAGAGCACAGAGTCGATTATCTGGTCTCGATCTTTTCCGATCGAAGTATCCCCTGCGTATCGATCGCATCAGCCCTGTATTCGCCTTATCATATATATATATATATATATATATATGTATGTACTTGGCTGGAGGGGTACACCAAGGTACTTATTGTAGGTATGCCCAAGACTGCCTACTACTAAGTCTATCACCCACGAGGATACCCCGTCTGTCGATAAGGCAGACAAGTTAACCTGAAGTGTTGGGTAGACCAACATTGATTCAAATATGTATGTTCAAGTAGTCCGAATAGCTAGTAGCCCATAATCACGTCAGCTCATAACCATGCATCCATGATGCATGGGATGTGTTGTACATCTTGTACCTGACGAATCCATCCCACAGTTAGCGCCACAAATGTCGAAAATGGTGTATCTAACAACACACTGGGCAGCCAGCTCATCAGTCCCGCTCTTTGGCCCTATCTTTACAATCTATCCCAAGTACATGGTCAAAGGTATCTCTAAACGAGCGGTGAAAGGGACAAGTCACCACGCCGAGAGCTTATCTTACGTGGTCACTAACGGACGGAAAGAATGTTATTATCTACCACATTTCACGGGGTACATGGTGCGCCCCGATACGCAAGTATATTAGACATAGCGCAGAGGTTCCTGATACCGCAATATGATACTCCGTGCTTTGTAGTATGTTAATGTTACTATTATTATACGCAGATACTACAACATACGGGGAAGCCCATCCGCGATCCAAAGAGGTCCAAAATTCCCGAGAAATGCGCCTTAGATCACCGTCGGAGACCCGGTACCCAGGAAATCAGGAAATTATAATCTGTGGAATGGACATTCTGGAGATTCTAGAGTAACACTCCCCCCTTTCCCCCAGATAACTATCCATTTGTGAGTACGTAAGTACCAGTAGAGTGGAGTGCATTGCATATTGAAAATAGTCAAATCGCTACGGTGGCCCCTTGAATCCGGGGGAGAAGAATTGTGGAGCTCTTTATTCGGACGTCGATCAACGGTTGAACGGCCAAGGGGATTTTGGTACTTTTGTTGCTCAACGTTTGTTCCCCTGAATTTACCAAGGAGGTGACGGTGAATCACTGGGGGGAAAAAAGCTAACCCCGAATCATGGATCGTATCCCTGAGTTGGGCATCGCAAACCCTTCGGCATCGACTTCGTATACGATGTAAACACATCTCAAACAAAGGATTTGATATGCGCCTCAAACTGTTTCGGCCCCTGGCATGGTCCACTACTCTCCCTTGTGATTTAAGCGAAGTTCCGAAAATATTACAGGTTTATTTGTGGCGCTATGCGATATACTACATATGTATATCGTACAAGTTTTATCGTGTGTTGGATTGGTGTTATACTATAGACGGGTCTACTGGTGCTTGAGATGCCCCTTTTATCACATACAGCCCGACGCAAGTGCCTTTGGTCAATCTTAATCAATTTTTAGAAGATCGTCCTGATTAAAAATGCACCTCGGGAAACGGTGAGCACGACAAAAGAGAAAAGGCCCTGATTTGAGTGCTTTCAATAGACGGTGAAAATGGAAATGCCTCTAAAATCGGATGATACCTTTTCCCCGGCAGAGCACAATACAAAGTATACAACAACACATATAATTCAGGTCGTATCAAATAATAGCTCCGATTCCTGTCGCCACCCCCAAGCCGATCCCCTACACCGCAACGGACAAATCCCTTCCATAACCCCGACGATCTGGTCGCTGGGCCCCAGTTTTTGTTCTCGAAAGGATCGCCCGTATCCGCTCTCGTGCCGAGGTCAGCAGCGAGGTTCCTCCGGGAAACGCTAGAAGGCATAGAATCATAGAAAACAACCCTTAAACTAGCACTAATTCATTAGTTTTAAATAGAGCCTTGCCGCTTCAACCGGTTTAATCGGCTTTCGCTAGCTGTTCCCGTCTTCCAAACTAGTTGTTTCCAGGGCAAATAATGTCAAATAACACAACACATAATATCAATTGATTCATCGATTCTCACCCCCTGGGTCCTCTCCCCCACACTAACGCGTCAGGCCCCATTTCCTTTGTTTTGTATTTCTCCCCGACAGGCTTTCCGGGTTGGGCTCCCGCTGTTCCGATGGGGAATGTTCCCCATCCCTACCTCGATAACTGGGTTATTGGGCGGTTTAGAATGAGGCGAATAGGCTTGGCGGGCAGATCTCTAGGAGTAAGCATTAGGCCTGGCCAGGTATGCGTGTACTGGGTACTTTCGTGCTTCCCCAGGGAATGTACTCCGTACTCCTCCACACTTTTACGGGGATGGCTTTTTTATTTTATTTGATTATCTGTTTTGGGGTGTCTCATATCTTTTTTTTTTTTTTCAGATTATTATTTATTGATAGGAGAAAAAAAAATATAAACGACCCGTTGACCCTGAAATCGTCTCACCTTTTTTCTCGTTTTGTTCATACTCCTGTGAAATTAATTTTCAAATACTATATATCAAGCACTGTCAACAGCTTTGCTATCATCGTTCACTTTGATCGTCTTCAAGTCTTCTACCGGAGCAATACTATCACTGCAATAATCAAGCTCCTCGAGCCTCTTCACAATCGTCACAACTACACCCTATCACCCAACGACCACGACTCACTTCTCGCCTCCCATCAACACTTGTTACTATTACATCTCGCAAATATCCGAACCTAATAATTCCTTTGATCCTTGTAAGTATAACTTCCGTCACCACTTGCCACCTCATATCGCTCTCTCCGATCCGATCCACCGAAACCGGGCCTCGGGCAACTTCGGAGCCACAAGCTTCATCTATACCGGAGCATATGCCAAATCCAAGTACAAAGCACAAGCACTCTGCACAAACAGAAAGCTGACCTTCAACCTCGTGAATATAGCTCTAATACTCTAG